GCCAGAGCGACTGCCGCCACAGTTGATACAGTTCTAAAGGCCTTGATTGCTTTTATCGCAAATCCCCTTTGTGCCGACTCCAAAAGCTTCCTTACATATCGCTTTTTCGCAGCTTGACCCCAGATGCCTGCCGCGTATGTAATTGTAGGCTCAATAATCTGTCGATAGATAGTTTGTACGTTATCAGGATGGGCTCCCCAGGTTGGTCGGGTGTAAATGCATAGTTTGTTGAAAATTCTCATCGCCTTTCCGACAACGTACTTAACATGATCAGCGAATAGGAGCTTCCGGTCGATGATCACACCTAAGAACTTAATGCTCCTTTGAAATGCTAAGGTGTGTCTCTCCATTATAAGGTGTGCTTCCTCCGCCTTGCGCGTGAACGCAATCGCTTGCGTCTTAGTGGGTCCGAAGGTCAATTTGACACTTTGCCCCCATTCCATGATGATTTTCAAAGCACGGTTGGTGTTTGTTTGTAAAGTATTTACATCCTTTGCGGAGACGATAAGTAAGACATCATCCGCAAAGGCTTGCAAATGACATCCACTTGGAAGTTCAGCCTCAAGTAACTCATCCAGAATCACGTTCCATAGAATGGGCCCGCATGCCAACCCTTGGATGCAGCCCTTAGTGTTGCGCTTAGTGACCCGCGCTCCTGCGTATTCTAATGTAACTGTGCGGTTCGTCATATAGCTTTCTATTAAATGAAAGATGTTCTTAGGGCATCGTATTGCACGTAATCTCTCAAATAGTGCGGGCCACCAAGCGTTGTCAAACGCGGAGCGGATGTCCAAAGAAACGCCCAGCACCTGTTTACCTTTCTTCTTAGCTGCTTTTACGATGCTGAGCGCTGTGTCTATGGCTGCAGTCGTGCTGGTCTGTTCCTTGAAGCCAAACTGACGCCTGTTGAGTAGTCCCGCCTTAGTTGCACAATATGTGACCCGCTTGATGTACAATTTTTCGAGCAACTTTCCAAAGACCGACAAGAGCCCTATTGGGCGGAAGGAGCCCAATTCGCTATAATCAGTCTTGCTCGGCTTTGGTATGATTTTGACTACCGCTCCTTTCCACTGTTGAGGGAAATGTTGGAGCTCTAGACACCTGTTCATGATTCCCGTTATAAGTTCTGGGTAATTAATAGTGAACTGTAGGCAAATGTCAGATGTAAGACCATCAATGCCGGGTGCCTTCTTGGGGTTCATCCACTTAAGATGTTCTAAAACCTCCTCAACAGCGAAGGGGGGTTCATCTACTCCATCCGGCTCATTCCTGATTCTGGATCTAAGATACTGGTGTTGGTGCGTGTCATCATCCAGTGTATCATCATCGTAGAAGTGATCCAAGAGTGCTTGGGCAGTCTCCATTTCGCTGTTGGTGTAGTTGTCACCAATTTTCATGGTGGCTGGTGGTCGCTTTGGTGCAGTGTCCTTCAGGAGTCTATTCGTGAGAGTCCAAACGTTTTCTTTTGTTTGTAGTTCGCAAAACTCCTTAAAACTCCTGGAAGACTCCGCCCTCAGTTCTTCCGCATATAATGCTTTTTTGTTTTTTAACTCCTCTGCCAAATGGTCTAAAGGAAGATTCTGACGTCTCATTCGGTTGAGTCGGTGGTGTAACTGGATGACCTCCTTTTTGAGGTCCGTCAATCTTTCCGTCCACCATAGCGGGCGATGCTTCGTCAGGGATTGGCCTTTCTTTGTCGGCATAGATTCCTCACATGCTTTATGAATTACCTCGCAGATGTCATCAATCAAGTTTTCCAAGCCAGCTGTATTAAGCGATCCGATGTCTCTCTCTAATATGTCTGTGTTGGTCATAAGCGTGTGAAGTGCATCCTTGAATATTCCCCAATTGGCCTTGTTGCTGTTATATTTAAATGTGGAGTTGGTTATTGATGACGAATTTGAGAAAGAATTCCCAATTTCAATCTCGTATTCCACAGCGTTGTGTTGCGACGAGGGGCAAGCGCTGAGGTTGACCTTCCACCCGACTATACGGTCATATATGTATCCATGCGCTAATGTGAGGTCTATTATAGAAGTCCGATCCCTGCCGTGTGTGACGGTTTCAAAAGTGGGTGTGCTGCCGACATTGCAGATGAAGAGGTCATTTGCATATACCAGCTCCACCACCGCACATCCTCTGGGGTTGTTGGTCTTACTGCCCCATATGTGATGCCATCCATTGAAGTCACCACCTATAATGGTATTGGGGCATCGGGAGGTTTGGAGAAAATTATCTATGTGCTCTAAAGTATTATTGCCGTCAGAATCCGGCTGAATGTATGCGGAAGCTATTAGCATTTTTTGGCCGCCGCTCGTGAATTGAATAACGCAAAAATTTGTGTTGGAGTATTGTGACATGCCTAGTACCTGGCCACAACCTGGTTTGGTGAGTATACAAGCCTTGACTCTGCCTTTTTGACTAAATTGGTATATGTTGAGGCCCTGAATTGGTCGCACCTCATTTCCTGAGCCAACATATGGCTCCGCCAGCAACGCAATTTGATAATCACCTGCCATGAAAAAAATAATAAATTCGTGTAAACTTTTTTTTTGAACGGTCAATATTACACTGTATAATTTTTATATTTTTATTGATTAAATCCATAGTCGATTCTGTTATTTATTCTTTCCCTCATAGCTCTCAGTTTTGGACATTCTGGTGACATGGCAGAGTGGCGGACATCCGCCTTGGTTCCAAATTTATCATTGTGAAATGTACAGTTGGCACATTTGACTATGCCTTGTTTTCCCTTATCAGGACATTTGTCCCCCGTGTGATCCTTCCTGGAGCAGTGCGAGCATTGGCTTGTAGTAGCCGTACAGTATTTTTTAATGTGCCCAAACTGCAGACATCTGTGGCACTGTAGAAAGGGTGAGAATTCGCTAACGTGCAGTCGCTGGTAGTCGATGTTAATCTTGCCCTGTTCCATGAGTTTATGGAAGAGTTTGGGCGCCACAAGAAACATTGCATTGTATAGCTCCGGGTTTTTGTTACTACGCCTAAAACGGAGACGCATGTCATCCTCCTCAGTAAAAGCCTCTTTCAATTCTGGGTTCTGCCTCCTGACGATACCAACTATCTCTTCAGCTGGTATATCTTTGGAAATACCCTTTAGTACAATCATTGGCCGCAATCCCTTAGCCGGCTCAACGCTAACGTGCTCAGATAATTTGAGTTTTTGTAGGGTGTCGTCACGTTGTTCAGTTGTGTCAAATTCAACCCTGAGTTTGTGATTTGACACTGCCTGAACCCTAGCCGGCGCATAATTTGCAGTTCGATATGAGATGCTCCTCTTAAATGCCTCGATTGCTTCCTGCCGAGATTTGGGGGTTACCTTTGGAGTCACCACGATGGCTGGCTTGTTGACAGGTGGATCACGGGCTGGTGGCCCAGCAGTCATATTAGGATGAGTGCCTGGCCCTCTGCTAGTCGCAGCGGCCTGGGCGTATGAGGCAGATCGTGCCTGGTGTTGAAGCTGCGTGGAGATTTGGCCCTTTAATTTGGCCATCTCGCTCTTAACACAGGCGACAATGTCAGCCTTTAAGTCGCTGTCCATTTTGCTCTGGGATGGGTTGTTATCAGGGGCGAACACTGTTGACATGCTGGTTAGTTTGTGCCCACACTTTCTGATCTCCTCGGCTGCTAGGTTGATGAGTTTCTTATTTGCGGCAGTGACGGACTTGCCGCCAGAGACCGCTTTGACAAGGCACTCAGTGAGTTTTTGGATAGTAGTGACAAAGGTGTCCATGTCGGTTATTTCCTCAACATAGGCCGGCAGGAGGGTGGAGGTGGCCTCACTGGCAAGACCCTTAGTTGTAGTAGCCATCTCGCTAATTAGATACTCCTAATATTAAAAGGTACTCGCCTTTAGTGTTTATATCTGGAAAGGGGTGCTCCCCCTTTAGAAAATCACTTCACTATTAGCACTATAATGTGGTGTCATTTTAGAGTTACAAAGTTCACATACAAAATAAGAGTCAGTTTTAAACCATATGAAATCGACAACTTAGTCCTAGGTTGAAACAATATTTCTCTAAATGCATAGTATTAATTTTTTTTTTAAAACGCCCTCTATGTTGCAGTCAGTAAAAAAAAAAAACAAAAAAAAAACAAAAAAAAACAGAAACTGTATAACTTATATTGTAAAGTCAATAGCAGTACATACCATTGTCAATAGATGTCGCCATTGATATATGATAGCAATTTTAGCGTCCTAATCAATTTAAATTATTCAACCGCCACTTTTAAAAGTTTTTTTTTTGTTTAATTTTACTTATTTATTAATTTCTTTCTTTAAGGTTTGAATGTTATTTGTTTAAAGCACTAGTCACAGAATGTTTTTGTACACTTTTATTGAGCTTTTATAGTATAATGTTTTAAATTTTTCGTTAGATCACCGTAGGTGCACTTATTGCATATTATTGTGATAATTAAGTCTCGTACTATTGAGATAACACTTGCAGTTATAGTCCACATATACACAAAGAACACAAACGTAAAATACACATTTATTTTTTTAAAATAACTTTTTAATGAAAATATAAACACAGAAACGATGTTTACACAGGCGGTGCAGCGCCCTCTCTCTTAACGCGGATATTTGCGAAGTAAATTTTTGTAAAAGCTTTTAGATAGGATTGTCTTTATCCTGATAAGTGACGGTCAATATTTTTTTTATTACGAATTTAAGAATTTTTTATATGAAGGGTCGAAAAGGGCAGAACAACGTCTGCCTGGCCAGCTAGTATACAATAATTACTTAATAATGATTGATAAATAGGAACTATGTAACAATCACTGATAACATATCAACATCCTCATCATCATTACAGCCCTTCACAAGTTCTGACTGAATATAGGCCTCCCCCAAGGAATGCCATAAAGCATGGTCCTGAGCCACCTGCATCCATTGACTTCCTGCATGTCTTACCATGTCACAAATGCATAGATAATAGAGGTGTCATATATTTTTACTAAAATGATTAATGATTTTACAGAACCGGAAAAACTACCTCGCCGACTTGCCTTCAATCGACAGTGACGACGAAAGGGACGAGAAGTCGTGGCAAAAAGTTAGTTCTATTTCTTTCTTCATTTAAAATCTATTGTTTCTTTATTATAATTATGTTTTATAATCTAAAATGTTACTATTAATTTAATTAACGGAATTAGCAAACTTTTCCGGTAATATCCTAGGGTTCAATCTAAGCGACATTCGAATGGCTCTCTAGCACTTTAAAGGTGATAAGACCACGGGCGAGGATAGAATTACAGCACAGCTTCTAAAAGCGGATGGAAACCCGGTACTTAAAATCCTTCAGACTCTTTAATTCCGTTTTTCTTCTTGGTGTCACTATTATTATTATACACGCGGGCGAGGAGCAGAAGTGAAGTGGCCTTGTTCTTCAAGAAAGGCTTTCTATTGAAGAACTACAGACTGATTTCCTTCTGACCCGATTTTATGTGCTATTTTTGAATTATTACGAATCGTCTCACCCGCAGACTTGACAACCTTCAGCCTCCGGTATAAGCCGGTTTCTGAAAAGACTAGCGCCACAAACAAAATTCACCCTCTTCGGAAAATTGATAGAAAACCGATGAGGGCAATCTGCCACTTTATCTTGAAATATGAAAACCCTTCGATAAAATTTGAGTACCGACTACAGTCCCTTCAGCGGTGCCAAGTTGACTGTCGGTATATCGATGTTTGTACAGTAGGGCTACGATGGCTATCCGAAATTACAAAACCGATCCAACTGCAGAGAGGTGTAAGACAGTTTGACAAAAGAGCAACAGTGTACCTGATGGTAAAACATCATCACATCTACTCTCATTTAAAAATCAAAATGCTGATATAGTGTCATCTTGAGTCATAAGACGGGATGCCATCTTTTCAGTAAATAAGGTCACCCAGTTTACATCGGTTACCGTTCTAAATATCCGTTTTATGTTCCTTCTTGACGCTGGTGTTATATGCAAGCGTGGTCCTTCCTGCGAAACGAGCCATTTTTAATGCAGCAGTAATAAAATTATTGTAAATGTATTATTACTGTGTAGTGGCGGTGTAAGAATATCCACTACCCCATATTATCCTGTGCGTATCGTAAGAGGTGACAGTAGGAAACAAATTAGGAGATGGCCAGCTCCTAACTCCTCCTGGCAGATTCCTAATAACGACTAAAAATAAAAAAATGTGGTTGCCAACCCGCTTGCCAATTATGGCAAATATATCTCCTATGAGCCAATCTATGGGGGACGCCCATGTTTCAGCAGTGGGGTTTTATAGGATATTGGATGCATGTATAGAAGATAATCTACCAGGAGCACATGACTCGCTGAGAGGTGAAATTATTAAATCAACAGTAACATTACAACTATGGCAAATATCCCCCCTATGAAGCAATCTATGGGGGAGACCTATGTTCAGCAGTGGACTTTTATAGGCTTTAATGTATGGATGTATACAAGATAATCTACCAGGAGCACATGACCCGCTGAGAGGTGAAATTTTCAAATCAACAGTAACATTACAACTATGGTAAATATCTCCCTTATGAGGCAATCTATGGGAGAGGCCTATGTTCAGCAGTGGACTTTTATAGGCTTTAATGTATGGATGTATACAAGATAATCTACCAGGAGCATATGACCCGCTGAGAGGTGAAATTTTCAAATCAACAGTAACATTACAACTATGGTAATTATCCCTATGAGGCAATCTATGGGGGAGGCCTATATTCAGAATTGGACTTTAATAGGCTGTAACTGATGCTGTAACTTATTCAATGAAAACGACAGTAGACTTATGGCTGGACCGCAACATCGGAAGGGCACGGGTTCGAATTCGCCATTCTACTTTTTTTTATAGAATAAAAGTAAGAAACGAGCACACAATCGTCCTGATGATAAGTAGATGCTGTGAACCCATATACATGTATATCCATCTTCAATTAAAAATTAAAATGCAGATGCTTTGTCACACCTGTAGACTAAGATTGAATGCCTCGTTTACAGTGAAAAGGTTTACCATACGCAACACTGCAGCTGATATTTCACTCTGGTATACTGTGACCGAATGGTCTTTCCCAGTCGAGCCGACCCATTCGTGTTTACACCATAATATAGCTGCAGCGTGGTACTACAACGTAAAAAACTACTTTGGTGAACCACTCCTAAACTAGTTACTGTGGAAATATTTTACGCTTTTCCCCAGTCCCAGTAAATACGCAGGACCTGTCTATAAAAACCATAAAAATTTTATTAAGCAAAAATTGTTTAATAAGGCTTATTATACTACTAAAGAGTACATGATTGATGATTTAATAACCCTTGCGAATGAGGTGATTACTACCATAGTGTTTTTAAAGTTTTTTTTTATAATTAATCTAATAACATATTATAATGTACTATTTAAAAAAAGTCCCGCAGGGTTTCTTGCTGGTTCTTTCCAGGACGGAAAATTTTTCCGAACCAGTGGTACAGCTTAGTATGACTTTCAACAAGTATTCCTGTAATCTATATTGATGTTTTTTAAATAGGATTGGGTGACAAACGAGCACACAGTCCACCTGATGGTAAGTGGTTGCTGCGGCCCATAGACATCTACATCTATCCTCGTTTGCGAATCAAAATGCAGATGCGTTGTCACCCGTGAGGACTAACATGGAATGCCTCTTTTCCAGTAAAAAAAGGGTCTCCGGTTCTCTACACTCACCATACGAAACACAGCAGCGTTAAGCTGATATTTTACGCTGGTATTGTGAGAGCGTGGTCCTTCCCCGGTCGAGTCGACCCATTCGTGCTACAATTATACTATTTATATAGCTGCAGCATGGCTCTACCACATACACTACTAGACGTACCTACTAGAATTCTTTAAAATAAATTGTCATGTCACAAGTATTTCTATCTATTTCTAGATGATAAAGGAAATCAGGAGGAAAGGGTCCCATTTTAATGACACGTCGAAGCCAGTGAGTTACTTTTTGTTCGTATATACGGTACTTATACAAAAACACAATTTATATAATTTTTGTCTGTCTTTCGGTCTGTCTGTCTGTTTGTTCCGGCTAATCTTCGAAATATATTTTGACGGGACGGGACTTTCACTGGCAGATATCTGGTATTATAAGGAGTAACTTAGGCTACTTTTATTTTAGAAAAAGAATTAGTATTCCGTGCAAAAAATTAAAACCCATGAAATCCAATAGTAAGAAATCACGCGCGGGCGAAGTCGTGGGGAACAGCTAGTTATAAATAATAACAATAACAACTATTGTTGTCATACATATTTTATAGGCCTGTGCGTAACATAAGTTTCATACCGAATTAAAATTATCAAATAAAGTTGTTGATAATATCAGAATTGCACAAGTAATTAAAATTATATATTTTTTAAATTATGTGCGTCATAAAAAATAAAAAATACATATTATGTAATGAGGGCTATTAATTTTCTGCTCACCAGATGTCGCTAGTTGACACTAAGGTAAAGTTTTTTGTTACACAATGTCATTTAATTGAGAAGTTGGTTTTAAATAAAAGTTTATCAGTTTCACAAGTATTATATTAATACACAAAACAATGCCTCAGTGATTTGCTCCATAATTTTTTGCACATTATTAACCTTTTTAAAAATTTTCTACTTTTATGAATAGATTTGGTGTACTTATTTTTAATCTTATTAATATAAAATATAGCTTATAGTACAGAGAGAAACATTAACTTTCACATTTTCCGAGCAAATTAACTTCGTCGCTATAAAATCTGTCAAATATTATACCTCACTTTTAAGTGGCGCCGCCCTGGTGGCAGAAAAAGTCGTGGATTTACTGTAGAGTGTTATAATTTTGTAGATATTTAGATTCAATTCAATTCATCCATCCATCAATTACAGCGTATAGAAGTCTACTGCTGATCAGGCCTCCCTCATAAATTGCATCGTGGGGGAATTTTGCCATAGTTGCCACGCTAGGCAAGCGTGTTGGCGACCAACCACAGTTGCTTATAATTTAGAGTTGTTATCAGGAAGACGCTGCTGCCCATCTCCTGTTCCAGTTTCCCTCTGTCGCCTCTTACGACACCCACGGAACGATATGGGTAGTGGAAATTACACCGCCCATACTCGGAATAATTGAATCATCATCATCATTACAGCCCTTCACAAGTCCACTGCTGAACATAGGCCTGCACCAAAGAATGCCACAAGGCACGGTCCTGAGCCACCTGCATCCATCGACTTCCTGCATATCTTACCAGGTCGTCACACCATCTAGTGAGGGGACGGCCCTACACTTCGCCTACCGGTACGAGGCCGCCACTCGAGAACCTTTTTTCCCCATCGGTTGTCGGTTCTTCGAGCTATATGGCCGGCCCATTGCCACTTCAGCTTACTAATCCGTTTGTTTTATTTTTTAATATAATTGATTTATTTGTCACTTTAATACAATGCACGCACTGCTACTTTGCTGGCAAAAATAGGTGTGTGAGTGGTTCCTACACAGACTGGCTCCTTAGCACAAAAACAGTCTTACCACCTAGGTGTAACATTACATCTCTACAGTTTCCATGTACCAGTAATGCTGATCCCATCATCAGTGGGAGGGATTTGAATCCTGCGTATTTGGAGGGATTTTACGCAATCGTCATTACCAAGTTTCGTTCTTTGGTTAACAGAAGTAGTAAAACTTATAACAATATAAATAATTTATTGTTGATTTTTTTAAACCGCTCGACCGATTTCGATAAAATTTAAATATGGGCCACGTGGGAAGTATACCCTATGAAATAAAAAAAGAATTTTCCAAATCGGTTCAGGCGTCTTTGAGTAATCGGTGAACATAAATAAAAAAAATATTCCGCCGAATTGAGAACCTTCTTTTCAAGTCGGTTGACAATGCACGTTGATGATCTGTAGATACTCAGAGTATCCCATAAAGCCTCTTTTATGGACAACTCTTACCATAAGAACATAATTGTGGCTAAAATAGACCTAATATTCATACATATACATAAAATCTAAATAACTAGCTGGTAACAGGCGCGTTGCTGCCGCCGAATATACAACATGTAACAAGAGAGATGGTAGAGCCATGCTGCAGCTATATTATGGTTGTAGCACGAATGGGTCGGGGAAGGACCACGCTCTCACAGAAAACCAGCGTAAAATAGCAGCTTAACGCTGCTGTGTTTCGTATGGTGAGTGTAGAGAACCGGAGACCCTTTTTACTGGCAAAGAGGCAATCCATCTTAGTCCTCACGGGTGACAACGCATCTGTATCTTGAGTCTTTATTGAGGATAGATGTAGATGTCTATGGGTCACAGTAACCACTTACCATCAGGTGGACTGTGTGCTCGTTTGTCACCCGATCCTATAAAAAAAAACCCTGTGGTTCCCGTTAAGTACGTTATCAGGATCAGTATTCAAACCTATAGAAATAACTTTTTTTTTTTAAAAACGACCATATTTTTTTACATTATAAAAAAAATAACAACGCAGAGGTAATAAAACCACATACAATTCGCATACAATTTTTTTTTAAATAAAGTAAAAAAATTGTTCGAGTTTTTAAAAAAAAAAGTTATTTCTATAGGTTTGAATACTGATCCTGATAACGTACTTAACGGAAACCACAGGGTTTTTGTTACATTTTTTTTTAGGATAAGGGTGACAAACGAGCACACAGTCCACCTGATGGTAAGTGGTTGCTGCGGCCCATAGACATCTACATCTATCCTCGATTACAAATCAAAATGTAGATGCGTTGTCACCCGTGAGGACTAAGATGAAATGCCTCATCTCTAGCAAAAAGGGCCTCCGGCCACCTGCACTCACCAAGCGAAACGCAGAGGTAAACGGCTACTTCACGCTGGTTTTCTGTGAGGTCGTGGTACCACCCCGGTTCGAGCCGGCATGTTGTATAATTGTGAAAATGCGGTTTTAAATTTGTAAGAGTTATGTCGTTTATTTAGAAAGGTGTCAAGCATTGGTTTATTATTAAACATATATACGTACGATTTCAAAGCGAACGGCGGAATATTAAGTATGAATTTTCGATTTAACCAGTTTTTCTTATAAATGCCTAATTCATTGCTATTAAATACCTAAAGTTCATTTTCGTACTTTTAGCCTGAAAGGAAAGTTTTAATTAAATTTTTCAATCGGTACTTAGGGATCAAACTAAATAACTTCCGCTGTCAGACAAAATTGCGAACGAATTGTTGCCAATTAGGTGGGGCTGAGGCTAATACATTCATTGAATGTTAGTGATCGATAATTGAATGGTATATGACTTTCGAATAAATTTGTCGATAGGATACACGCGCCACCTAGTGTAAGTTAATTGTACTATGTCTATGATCTTCGCGCAAATGTAAGCAATAACGTTGACAAAGTTTTACCGCAATCTGATGAACGGTATGGCAACGCATAAAATACGACCTAACAAAAATCAATTTTTATAATATATTAGAGATAATTTGTTATGTTTACGCGAACTAGTTTTTATGGATTTTATCGCGTACATTAACTTATTTTATATTCCCGATTTTTCGAGTCCCTAGAGTTAACAAAGTCTACGGAAACCGTTCCATTATGCCGGGTGCCTTTAATCCGTCTAAACGGTCTGATTAATTAAAGAAAGAACCATCCAAAATTAAAATTTCCTAAATCAAACATGAGTATTTACGTTTTAACTTTTTGTCTTTCCAGGTGCCCAGTATAGTGATATTGCTGCTGTTAGGTGCTTATCTGACACTCGGCTACTTGACGCAACTGGTAGAGGATGACATGCCGAAGGTCATCTATGAGAAGGACATACAGAAGGACGTGAGTATGCTTCATGATTAATTGTTTTCGCAACATTCATTACTCACTAACCATTTTAGCCATGCTGCAGTTATATTAGTAGTATAGTTGTAGCACGAATGGATCGACTCGACCGGGGAGCGACCACGCTCTCACAGAATACCAGCGTAAAATAGCAGCTTAACGCTGCTGTTTTTCGTATGGTGAGTGTAGAGAACGGGAGACCCTTTTTACTGGAAACGAGGCATTTATCTTAGTCCTCACGGGTGACAACGCATCTGCTGATTCTTTATTGAGGATAGATGTAGATGTCTATGGATCACAGCAACCACTTACCATCAGGTGGACTGTGTGCTCGTTTGTCACCATATACTATAAAAATAAAACATAACTTAAATAACATAAAAATGAAAAATCAAACTTATCTTACAATCGACAAAGATGTCGCGTAACATACGTAAACAAAACCTTCAAGAAACTAAACTTTAAAATTGCTTTGTAATAGCGCCATCTACTTCATTTTATAGCTAAAGTCATTTTATCGAAAAAAAAAAGAAGTAACTCTCAAGGTGGTATGTAAAATAGACGCTAGATGGCGTTAACTCGAATAATTTAATATTTCTCTCTATCTCATTCTCTCGCAGTATAAATCCTATACATGTCATATACATTTTGTCTCTTTTTAGTGTCGCTTTTTCTTTTGATTGAGTTTCAAATCACGATGATTGTCAAGAAGTTTTCCCTTCATAAGGTTATCGTGTTGGAGATCAAAGTCGGCTAAAGTACGTTTGACCACAAAATCTAAAAATGATAGCCTGTTTACCAAATCTAAACTGTAATCATTTAAAATTTAAAATTTTGTGCAACCGACTGCAATATAAATTATTAAGAATAACTCAAAAACTATTTGTCAGACCTTGATCAAATATATATGAGACCACATGAGAAGCACCAGCTGTCAAATAAAAAAAGAATCATCGAAATCGGTTCACCCAGAAAAAAGTTATGTGGTAACACACATAAAAAAAAACATACAATCTAATTGTGTACCTAATCCTTGTTGAAGTTGGTAAAAAGTGTCTTACTTGTATTTTCATTCCTAGGATGCTGAAACCTTCAGCGAGGAATCGGCAAGGAATTACCTTGATCAGATACTCGGTACTGAACCCAGAGTAGCAGGAACAGCCTATCATTATGAAAAGACTAAGGACTTGAAGGCGTTACTTGACTCTATAGCTGGGCAAGCTAACTTGCCAGTGAGGACTGATTGGCAATTTGTGTCAGGTGAGAGATTTCTTTACTAGGTAAGTGCGGGAAAGTAGTAGAGGATTTATGTTAAATAGTGGCCTAGGTCTGGATGCCCTGGCCGGAGAGATAGATATTTAAAATCATAAGACCTTCCCAAGGAATGTCACAAAATACAGTTTTTGCGTGGTAGAGCCACGCTGCAGCTATATTATTGTTAGACTGACTGCCTCGTTAGTCTAGTGGTTGTAGTAGTGCGACTGCTGATCATGAGGTCCCGGGTTCGAATCCCGGTAGGGCCAAAAAAATCAGTTATTGAGTTTTTCTTCGAGAAATTCTCAGTAGCTGCCCTGAGTCAGGAAGTTGGCGGTGTCTCACCCCCGTGCCTCGGAAAGCACGTAAAGCCGTTGGTCCTGCGCCTGATCTCTCTCCGGTCGTGTCGGTTTACCGTCCCATCGGACTATGAGAGTGAGGGAATAGAGAGTGCACCTGTGCTTGCGCATACACTTGGGCACTATAATCCTGTCCTGCGCAGATGGCTAGTCTCCGTTGAGATTGGCCGCCGTGACCGAAATTCGGTCTGGAGGACATTATTATTATTGTTAGAACGAATGTGTCGGCTCGTCGCGGAAGCACCAAGCTCTCACAGAATACCAGCGTGAAATAGCAGCTTAATGCTGCTGTGTTGCGTATGGTGATACTAGAGAATCGGAGAACCTTTTTACTGGAAAAGAGGCATTCCATCTTGGTCCTCAGACGTGACATTTGTATCTGCATTTTGATTCATAATCAAGGATATATATAAATGTCCATGGTCTACAGCATCCACTTACCATCAGGTTAAACTGTGTGCTCGTTTGTCACCCTTATTCTATAAAAAAAACAATCCTGGGCCACCTACATCAGGCCATTCTGACACTAGGTTTATTTTTCTTCTCTATCGGCTTTCGGTTTTTCACATTATGTCCCACCAATAAATATAGGATTATAATTTTTGGTGGAAAGGAGGTTACATGAAATACATTGCAAAATATTTCAATCATAGGACTATATAATCTATATTTTAAAATTTATTTTTGTTAGAAGGGATGGTAGATATGATAAGGATATAGAACGATGAGTGAATGCAGGAAATAGAGTGAATGGGGCTCTACACTCTATTGTGAAAAGTCAGAATGTGTCCAAAAAGGCACGTATGGCAATTCACAATGCTGTGTTAGTACCTACTTTAATGTATGGTCATGAAAGTTGGGTGTGGCAGAAGAAGCATGAGAGTAGAATAAATGCTGTAGAAATGCGGTCATTAAAGAGTATGTTAGGGATGAAGCTGAATGACAGAGTGAGAAATTGTTTAATAAGAGAAGAGTGTGGTTTGCAAGATGATGCTGTGACCAGGATTAAGAAAGGAATGCTTCGGTGACAAAGCAAATTTATGTTGCAGAGGTGAACGGCATAGTCGGGAAGGGTCGCCCTAGGCGAAAGTTTATCGACCAAATTGGCGATATATTAAAAATGGGCCAAATCAAGAGTACCTTTAACCGACGAGCGTGTATGCGTAGGTATATGGATGTGGAGGAAGCGAGAGAGGTGTGTCAGGATCGTGCCAAATGGAAGTCCATAATCTCTGCCTACCCCTTTGGGTGACAGGCGTGAGTGTTTATGTTTATGTATGTTATGTTGACTGAACTCGCAATTGGAATTTTTTTTTCCGGAAGTTAAAAAGCAAAAAACCTTGGAATTTCTCGTCTTCTGTCTCCTTTGAACTCACTTCCCTTAAATCCTTTTGTCTTCTAGAATGAGCTTTGTTCTAGAAGATGTAATGAAATTTCCATCATTCCAGGTGACTATTGGTTTGCGTCCAGTATACCGCACGTGAACTGCTACACGAACTTATCCAACATAATCGCCGTTGTGGAGGGAGAAAGTGGTTTCCACGCAAACGGCACAATTGGGACGTCCCTGCTGGTCAATTGTCACTATGACTCTGTACCCTTTGCTATTGGTAAGAATAATATTACTTTTTACACAATAGCTACTTTTACACAACAAGCTAACTTTTGATGGTGCCCGTTTAAATACGTAATTATTTGAACTTGTCGTAACGAACGTATAGTATTTATATTTGAATTACACCGGAAGTACATAATAAACAATTTATAACCCAATGAGATATCTATAGATTTTACAATTATAGATTATATATTTTACTAGCTGTTCCCCGAGACTTCGCCCGCGTGTTATTTGGGGTTCTAATTTTTTTTGCGTGGAACCCTAATTATTTTTCTAAAATAAAAGTAGGCTAAGTTACTCCTTGTGACATCAGCTATCTACCAGTGAAAATCCCGTCAAAATCGATCCAGCCGTTGCGAAGATTAGCCCAAACAAACAGACAGACAGACGGACAGACAGACAGACAGACAAAAACTATAAATTGTATTTTTGTTATTAGTTAAAATCGGTCCAGTCGTTTCGGAGATTAGCCGGAACAAACAGACAGACAGACAGACAAAAATTTTAAAAATCGTGTTTTCGTTATAAGTATCGTATATAGTATATACTTTCATCTGCATTTAGTAAAAAGCTGTAATTTTGACATTACAAACAGACACTTCAATTTTATTTATTTTGTATAGATTTATAATGCAGATAATATCAATCTTTTCGTATGAATCTATACAAATAAATAAAATTGAAGTGTCTGTTTGTAATGTCGAAATAACTGCTTTTTACTATATGCACATGAAAGTATGTACTATATACGATACTTATAACAAAAACACGATTTTTAAAATTTTTGTCTGTCTGTCTGTCTGTTTGTTCCGGCTAATCTCCGAAACGACTGGACCGATTTTGACCGGACTTTCACTGGCAGATTGCTGATGTTATAAGAAGTAACTTAGGCTACTTTTATTTTAGAAAAAGAATTAGGGTTCCGCGCAAAAAAATTAAACCCGTGAAATCCAATCGTAATAAATTTCGTGCGGGCGAAGTCGCGGGGAACAGCTAGTTTCTAATACGTTCATTTAGAGAAGCCATGGTGGGGCGGATAAATGCGACCTTTAGTCTCCAAAAGGGGTGATGACAATCTGGTCACTTTTAAAGCCGCCAAAACTCAGGCATGTCTAACCTCAATTTAGGCGCTAACGTTGAGTGTAAAGCACAAACTGTGGCCAATAAACTGGGTATTCTGAACAAGGTGAAACTATACTTCACGCCTGGACAGCGTCTAACTCTATACAAATCTCAAGTCCGAGTGTTGTAGTCACCTTTGGGATGGCTCATTAAAATATCAACGTTGCCGCACTCGACTCAATGGAAGACAGAGGTAAGAGGCTTATCCGTGACAAAAAGCTGGTGGTTTTTTTGTGCGATCAGCTATGCAGGTCTAGAAAGAGCAGTATCACTGCGACCTAAAAGATCTATTGTGATCGCCGCTGTGTCTATAGTTCACTGCTAAGCCCTACGTCCTCAATGAATAGAAGGAGTTGTTCAGCTGTGAGCAATCTCACTTCTTCTAGGCGAAGTACATAGTTTCCCGGATGAGTCTTACGTTTGTTTCCTTCTCCATTGACCCTTATCATCGTGAACATTCTTTAACGTGATGCAATATGCAAATGGCTGTGGTAACAGTTCTAAACTTATCACCATATCCCCAGGTGCATCAGACAACGGCGTGTTCTGCGCTGTGATGGTAGAAACGCTCAGCAAACTGTCGAGAAGGAAGCGCAAGTTGAAACATAACGTCGTATTCCTCTTTAATGGAGCCGAGGAGAACCCTTTGCAGGTCAGAAATTGATAATAATTTGTATGCTACCGTTACCGTTTTAGCCTATTAAAGTCCACTGCTGAACATAGCCCCCCCCCATAGATCGCTTCATAGGGGGAATATTTCCCATGGTTGCCATGGTTGCCATGCTTGGCAAGCGGGTTGGCAACCGCAGTTTTTTATTTATAGTCGTTATTAGAAAGATATTAGGATTTATATATCTTTACATAAATAATTTCCTCGTGTATGTGACTGAACTCCTCCTAAACGGCTGGACCAATTTTGACGAAATTTTGTGTGTGTGATAAAATTGATTCGAGAATGGTTTAGATTCATAACAAATCTGTTTCCGTCTTACTACTTATATATTGGTTATTAGCTACTGCAGCCCGTAAACACTTGCAAACCAACTTCAAACAAAGAAGAGATCAAGTACATGTCTACGGGCCACAGCCGTCACTTGCCATTAGATGGACTGTGTGCTCCAAATACAAAGAGGAGACGGCCTAAGCAACTGTGCACTGTGATACTAACTAGGTCCTGACGTCATCACAGTGGGCGTGGCTTTAGTTAGTATGCTGTCAGCGTTCGTCCTGTGCTCTTAAGTGCCGAAAATCGCAAATCGGTGTATTTTCGTAGTATTAAGAAGAAAACGATGAAGTGTTGTCTTTTATTGTGTAAAAACTACTCAGATAGACGCTCTGATGCTATGGACGGCATCAGATTTCATTTTTAAGTAATTTTATACCTAATATATTAAAATAGTTCTAGAAAGATCTCTTTGCGTCGGCTTTCAAATATAATTAAATATATTCGACACTAGATGGCGACACTTTGTGTCATGGGAACTAAAAATATAAAGGTACGTAGAGTTTAGTATTGGTAAAATAATCATACGAAGGTTTTTTTTATATTATTCTAAGCCAGCGCGTTTTGAAAAGATCTTGACTAGTTTCTGGACTCCACAGAGTCAGTTATAATAGCGTATACATTGCAAGTTTTTTTTTAACTTATTATAAGCCAGTGCTTGACCACAATCCCACCTGGTGGTAAGTGGTGATGTAGCCGAAAAAGCTTATTCACCTTGAAGACGCCCACATTATATTCGCATCTAAAAGCTCTGAAAGTGCTGAAATTTATTTTGTATTCAGTCCTAAAGAATTATAATCGCCAAAATATTATTTTTATAGTTTTTATAATCGTTTTGTGATAGGCCGCCATCTATCGTAAATTAAAAGAATAATTATAAAAATAACAAACGGAACGATGCGTGTAGTCTTAACATCCCCTCACCCCGCAAAGTGTCACGCGTTGTTACATAGTGAAATCTAATTACACCACCTCCTCTTTGTATTTGCTCCGTGGTGTGTCACCTCTGAGGATTAAGATAGAATGCCTCAGCGTGTAATTATTCTGGCTCTCTGTACCTTCAGATTGGACTACAGCAGTGCAAGCACTACAAATTGACTATTTGTTTATAGGATAAGGGTGAAAAACGAGCACACAGTCCACCTAATGGTAAGTGGTTGCTGTGGCCCATAGACATCTACATCTATTCTCGTTTGCGAATCAAAATGAAGATGCGTTGTCAGTGTGTGTCAAAATGAATGTGCGGACTAAAATGGTATGCCTCTTTTACACACACAGCAGCGTTAAGCTACTATTTTGCACTGGTATGTAAGAGCGTGGTCCTTCTCCGGTCGAGCCGACACATTCGTGCTACAACTACACCAGTAATATAGCTGCAGCGTGGCTCTACCGAGTAAAAAAAATTACTATGCTAGTTTTACTTACATTTTGCTAGTTTGTGTTATTACCAGGAGATAACAACTCGGTAATAAAACTGCTGCGGTTGCCAACCCTGTTGCCAAGCATGGCAACTATGCAAAAATCCTCATATGAGGCAATCTATGGGGGAGGGCTATGTTTAGCAGTGTACTTTGGAAGAGCTGTGATTAATAATTGAATTATGTAAAGTTGCAACTAACAATTTCTTCGCTGCCGGTGAGGATCGAACTTCGTATAGGTACTGCAGAATTTGCAGTAAGCAAAAGAATTTTTTACGTGGTAGAACCAATCTGCAGCTATATTAGTAGTATAGTTGTAGTACGAATGGGTCGGCTCGACCGGGGAAGGACCACGCTCTCACAGAATACCAGCATAAAATAGCAGCTTAACGCTGCTATGTTTCGTATGGTGAGTGTAGAGAACCGAAGACCCTTTTTACTGGAAAACAGAAACAGAAACTTTTTTATTCAATATAGATTATAAATAATACTTATTGAAAGTCATTCTTTTGTTTGATTACCACTGGTTCGGAAAAAACCTCTGTCCTGGGAAGAACCAGCAAGAAACCCAGCGGGACTTTTTTTTTTAAATAACAGCTTACAATCATGATGTTACACAAATTAACAACACAACAAATTAGAAATAGCTTGGTAGCGATCACCTCATTTCCAGGGGTTATTATCATCCATAAATTCCTTAATATTATAATAACCCTTTTTATACAAACTTAGTTTAATAAAGTTTTTGAACTTTGAACAGGCCAAACTTTGTATATTTTCTGGAATTTTGTTGTAAAAGCGTATACATCGCCCCAAGAATGAATTACTGACTCGATGGAGTCGAGTAACTGGTACTACTAGCTTGTGTCTGTTCCTAGTATTTACAGAATGAATATCACTTATTTTTATAAAACTACTTTTATTTTTGTGTACGTACATTAAATTTTCATAAATGTATTGAGAGGCCAAAGTTAATATATTAATTTCCTTAAATTTTGGTCGCAGCGACTCTTTAGGCTTTAAATCATAAATTGCTCTTATGGCCCTCTTCTGCAAAACAAATATAATTTCAGTGTCAGCTGCGTGTCCCCATAGCAAAATACCATACGACATTATGCTATGGAAGTAGCTGAAGTAAACTAGTCTAGCTGTTTCAACACTGGTTAGACTTCTAATCTTTTTTACAGCATATGCTGCAGAACTAAGTCTGCTTGCTAGTTTTGATATATGGGGGCTCCATTGAAGCTTCGCGTCTAGTGTGATTCCAAGAAAAATGGTGGTATCTACAAGACTCAGTTTCTCCCCATTTAAAATTACATTAGTATTTAATTGTTTGACATTTGGAGTCACGAATTTCATACATTTTGTTTTAGTGCCATTTAAATGCAAATTATTAACATCGAACCAATTTACTAACTTAGATATAGCATTATTTACTTCGTCATATTTTAGTAACTGTCGACTTAATTTGAAAATTAAAGAAGTGTCATCTGCAAATAATACTATATCATGGTTATCCCCTACTATGTAAGGTAAGTCATTAATGTATACAAGAAACAGAAAGGGGCCGAGAATTGAGCCTTGAGGCACGCCCATTTGTACCATCGATCCGGAAGAGCTCATATTGTTAATGACAACTTTTTGCGTTCTCTTACTTAAATATGAAATAATTAATTTAAGGGCATCACTTCTTACACCGTAGTGTTGAAGTTTCCTGATTAATGTTTCATGGTGAACACAATCGAAGGCCTTGGATAGGTCACAAAATATACCCAAAGCATCCTGTGAATTCTCCCATGCATTAAAGATATATTTAATCAGCTCAACACCGGCATCAGTTGTCGAGCGACCCCTTGTGAAACCAAATTGATTTTTATGAAGTAAATTATTTATATTAAAAAAATTTAACATTTGATCAAGAACAATTTTTTCAAAAATCTTACTAAGTGTTGGTAGTACAGAAATAGGTCTAAAATTGGCGGGGTCTAATGTACTACCAGATTTAAATAAAGGTATTACTTTACTATGCTTCATTAAATCAGGAAACACACCAGATTCGATACTAGTATTAAAAATAATAGCTAAATGAGGCGCGATTGTATCTATTATAGACGCAATAACTTTAACGGAAATCCCCCACAGATCCGCAGTTTTCTTAACATCAATAGTTTTAAAATATTTTACAATATCTTTTGATGTCACTTTATGAAATGTAAAATTCTTTGTACACACATTTACATTATGTTTAAGTAATGATTCGGCGACGGCAGGAGAAGAATTTAGTGACTTAGTGGTCAAGATCGGAATATCAGTAAAATATTTCTCAAAAACCATTGCTACGTCCTGATCTGATACAGTTAATTTGTTGTTAACACTTAACTGGTAATTTGAATTGCGAGAGTTGATCTTACCAGTTTCGCTATTAATTATACTCCATGTCATTTTAATTTTATTGGAAGCCGTCTTAATTTTGTTGCTCAAATGCAAAGACTTGGCTATGGAGCACACTCTTTTAAATATTTTTGAATATTTTTTTACATATTCCCTAAATTCGACGCTATGATTATATGACCTTTCATGGTAAAGATCATATAACCTATGCCTGCTCTTATGGACTCCTACTGTCGCCCATTCATGGAATGACTTCCGACTGAAAAGGCATTCCATCTTAGTCCTCACGGGTGACAACGCATCTGCATTTTGATTCGCAAACGAGGATAGATGTAGATGTCTATGGGCCACAGCAACCAGCAACCACTTACCATCAGGTGGACTGTGTGCTCATTTGTCACCCTTATGCTATAAAAAAAGCGCTCAGCCGCTAAGCAAACCCGCCTCTAATTTTGTTTGTCAATTTGTATTTTTGTTTTCACTACAGGGGAGTCACGGCTTTTTGAAGCACCCATGGTCCCAAGGGATCACCAGTGTGGTGAACTTGGACGCAGCCGGGATGAATGGAAAGCCGAATGTTTTTCAGGTAATTTCCAATTCACACATCGCTCCAATTTGTCCCTCTTGTATCACCCTGTTCTGTCCTGTCGCATATTCTATGATAACTGTGTATGTGTGTTTGTATGGATCACCTCCAAACACGTCCATGTATATTATTAGACGGGCTCTTAAGTACTAATACATTGCGCACTAAGTTACCCGGTCAATTATCCGTAGCTCTTTTAGTCGACTGCGAGCCGCCGTGGAGGCTAGTTCTTTGGCATTGAGTTATATGTACTACGTACTAGAGAAGCCATTCCGAACATTGACTATGTTCAACTGAACTGTAGTGCAATCCATACAAACTAAATATTGCGTAAATTGAAGATTTGTGAATTCCATAAGATAATTATTATTACATTTTATTTAGAAATATGTTTGTTTAGATTAAATTAAGATATTTTATATTAAATTCTTATATTTACTTTATATTAATATCTTATTTTATATCAAATTAAAGTGTTCGCGCATGCGCGACAACTAATCCCGCGCATGCGCGAAGACATAGAGTAGGACACAATTTTTGTTTGGAATGGCTTCTCTAGTACGTAGTACATATAACTCAATGTTCTTTGGTTTGTTAGCCGCGACCGTTGTTTTCGACAATCTAACACTGAATTTTTTTCAATATGACTAAGAAAACGCTGTGATCATTTATGTGCTAACTTTGTCAACGCGATTTGAAGTTTATTTCGGATAATTACATAACTTTATTTCGTATTTGCCTAAAAACAGTAACTGACGTAAATTAAAATGCAACTGCGTGGCATAATGACATTTATACACAGAAGTATTTGGTCACTCCCTCTAAATTACGGGGCCCGTTCTACACTGTTTGACCTATAGCTTCGTTTAAGCTTTGCTTTCGTTCGACGTGTAGAGGCATTGTAAGACAATTCACAGTCCCATATGATTCCGTGGGTGTCGTGAGTGGCATACCATAGTGGTAATACCATGAGGTGTATGTTAATTTCAGGTGTCGGACCCGCGCATTATGTCGGCTTACCAACGCGCTGTGAACAGACCAAACGCCCAGGGCTTCGGGGAGTTCCTGTTTAAATCGGGGATTATACCTTCCGACACAGACTTCAGAATCTGGAGGGATTTCGGTGATATACATGGTGAGGACATATGTTGTCTGTCTGTGCGTCTTACAATTTAGATTTCCTTAAATCTCCTCAAAGGAACCTTACGTGATGATTAGAGAGTGTGTATATAATACTATTAAAACCTTTTGACTGCCTCGTTGGTCTAGTGGCCGTAGTAGTGCGACTGCTGATCATGAGGTCCCGGGTTCGAATCCCGGGTCGGGCCAAAAAAATCAGTTATTGAGTTTTTCTATCAAGAAATTCTCAGTAGCTGCCCGGAGTCAGGAAGTTGGCGGTGTCTCACCCCCGTGCCTCGGAAAGCACGTTAAGCCGTTGGTCCTGCGCCTGATCTCTCTCCGGTCGTGTCGGTTTACCGTCCCATCGGACTATGAGAGTGAGGGAATAGAGAGTGCACCTGTGCTTGCGCATACACTTGGGCACTATAATCCTGTCCTGCGCAGATGGCTAGTCTCCGTTGAGACTGGCCGCCGTGACCGAAATTCGGTCTGGAGGACATTATTATTATTAAAACCTTCAAGATTTAAATTCACCTCTCACTTTTCATCAGTGAACACACAGTCCACCTGATGGTAAGTGTCTGCTGCAGTCCATAGACACCTGCAGCCAGCTTCAAAGAAAGAAGTCTGCAGATACGTTGTCACCTCTGAGGACTAAAATTTAGACCTTTCAGACGTGTAGTGTACTAACAGTAGTACAAGCACTACTATTTGGCTGCAAAAATAGGTACCCACCCATATAGACTCTTAGACAGAAAATGAATCCGATCATGTAATAGTTATCTCTTTTCGTTGTGGTCTAGCAGTAAATAGTATATTTCATTATGAGTGCGGAAAGCCTGTCATTGCAAAGAGTTCTGACAAAAATGTCTACCTGAGCCGAGGCGCAGCCGAAGGTGAGGGTTGGCAGTCGGAACAAGTTGCAATGACGGTTCCGCACGTGTACTGAACAACTATTTTTAATACAGTTGCGAAAAAATGAAGCAAAAGAATATTTTTGGAAAATGGCGCCAACCGTAAAAGAATATAAGCAGAGATATGTTTTTTTTTTCACCCATTCTGGGTAGGCAAGGGGAACTATGCCCATACAGCCAAGTCTTCAGTAGAATTTTTTAATTGATGTAAAATGAAAATAAAATTTTATGAGATGAGATGAAATGAAACCTAACCTATCTCATTGATGCAAATCATTAAATCTGATATTGAAACAAATTAGTACCTGCATGAATCATAAAAACTTCTATGAATTTTTTTTAGTAAAAACTTCGTGGTTGGTTTTTTTCTTTTTAATAGACATTATTTTGATAGTTGGGAAAGAGAACTCACGGAAAGAGTATAGTTCGGAAAAGGTATAGAAAAAGCACGAGTATGTAATAGCCCACATCCCGAACGTTATACGTCCCTACAATACGCCACTTTTTGAGCAACTGTATTAAAAAATATTTAACTGTCTTTCTATCCATATCCAATATTTCTGAGATATTTAGTCTGTTTCTCTATCTAAGACTACATCACTACTTACCATAAGGTGGGATTATAGTCAAGCACTGGCTTATAACTTAAAGACAATATTGATTAGGCAATGGGCCGGCCATATAGCTGGAAAATCCACCACCGGTGGGAAAGAAATTATAATTTACAAATTTTCATAAGGTCCGGCTCGTAAGACCAAGAATGAAGGAGAGAGTTCTAACCCGTTGATAATGACAAATATTACGACCATCAAGGAATAATAAGGTGTTGTCACCATTCCTTGATGGTCATGTAAGTGCGTAGGAGTAGGATTGTATGCCGTTATATTTAGCAAATAAATTACTGCAGACCACTAATAACTATATTTATTAAGGCGCAGGTTGAGCAAAATGTCGCGCTAGTCGTTATTTGGGCGATTTTTAGGAGCTATCTACTTTTTATTTAAAAGATATATCAACAAATAAAAAACACATTATATTTCTACATAATCTTGATTCCATAAAAGCTATATCCAATTTTTTTTTAAAGGAATACATATTAATATAATCTCCTTACAACGAAACCACATAAATGTGAAATTATTATTGATAACATGCATCTCCTCGTAAAGTAAGTATTATTTTGTTTTGCGATTTACACCAATGGATAGGCAATTTATTAATGAACATTTCTATAGTAAAATTTTTTTCAAAAGACCAAAATTTGATTTTATTAAGAAATTATTTTAAAATCTGGGCGTATATACTGCTCACGGGCTTGATGAAGTCAGTGAGCGCTGAGCTCTTCGACGGGAAGCCCGTGTCGTTAGAGCGTCGACCGACGCATACGCCACGTCATATGAGTCGATAATATTATTACTTATTAGGTTATTTATAGGTAGTATTATTTGTTTGTTTTGGGTATAATTTTTCGTATTAGTTATACATATATTTGTTGTGTTTTTTACTGCGCGATGAAGATTTTTGCGTGTATTTTCTTTGAAGTAAATGCAAATAAAAAAATGAAGCACCATTAGCATGTAAGGTTCGAATCCATAATTAAAATTTCGACAAATATTATAATTTACACTATAAAAGGCTAATTCAATATTATCACCCAACCACAATATCTTATCAGGTATACTACTGCCTCGTTGGTCTAGTGGTTGTAGTAGTGCGACTGCTGATCATGAGGTCCCGGGTTCGAATCCTGGGTTGGGCCAAAAAGTCAGTTATGAGTTTTTCATTTATGTTCTAAGTTATAATTAGTATTACTAAGTTATAGTTTTTTGCTAAAATATAGTATATTATTTATTGCTTGTTTTTTCTTCTTTTTCAAAAAATAATTGAGTACATAAGGTGTTCTATACTTATATCTCGGTAAAAAGTACTAATTAATATACCTACTTTTTACTATAAACTAAAAAATTTTAAAACTAAATTTAACTAAATAGACTAAGCTGACCATTTATTTTTTAACTCATAACAGGACATGGGTTTATTTATACTCTAAAAACTATAACTTTATACAATTAGTGTTCACTATAAAATTATATTCGGTATAGACGGTAATTATTAAATGCAACATATTTTTTTAAATTATTAATTACATTTGTCAGTGGATTAAATTTGCTTTAATAAAGTTGGTGATGATTTTAAATAAGAATAAAATTCTGCTCAAGTTTTTTATTGTTATCTTTGTTAACAACATCGCCTTTAGAACTCTGGAACCGTAAGTGTTTCTTTCAGACGTCCACAATTTATGCAAAATAAAAAAATACTCTTTCTACCGGAGCATTCGTACCAGGTAGACATAAAATATATTCGATTAAAAAAAATTATGTTGAAGATTGTTGACTTTGAATACTTCCATCCAACGAGTTACGGGACAATTTTGTGTCCCGGTGCTTTGTTTGGGGACAATGGGACAGGAGACCGAGAAAAGGGACAGTCCCGTTCAAAACGGGACGTATGGTCACTTTAGCTATAACCCGGCGACCATGAAGCAAATACAAAGTTAGTCTTTCTATTAGCTTCATGGTGGCGCAGTGGCTTAGCAATCAGTTGTTGCGCTGGGGGCCGCGGATTCGAATCCCGCATGGAACAAGATTTGTATGGCCTACAAATAATTGTTCCGGGTCTGGATGTTTGTCTTTGTGCAATTTATGTTTGTAAACTGCCTCCACGACACAGGAGAAAATCCTAGTGTGGGTGTAATTTTTTTTACAACTGAAATTGAAAGATTGAACCCTTATACTTCTTGTTGATTTTTGTATTTATATATTTTTTATTGCACCAAATATTTGTACAAAAGCCGAGTTATCTATTTATTTACCTATAGTGAATAGGTATCTTTTAAACTCACAATTTTCAATGCTTCCGTTTATATAATTAATTATAAAATTTCATAATTAGATAATATATGAAAATACATAATTCTAATATAATGCAACTAATATATACAGAATAAAAAAATTAAAATACATTTATCTTTGTACGCTGTGTATTTCCATAAAACAGTTTATTGATGTTGAAAAAATAATACTATCTACTTTCGTACAATAGGTGGCGTCTTACATATTTCTTCCGGCGAGCCGCTCGCTACAATATACTCGTATTAATATTGTAGCGAACGGCGCGCCGGTCAAATGCTCAAGGTCGTTCGCATGGAGTAGCCCCTTAACACGCAAGTACAAGTTAGACAAGAGTACAAAATAGTATATCATTGCATTGGAAACATTGCTTATATAGGTGAAAATAATTAATAATAATTAAATAGTTGTTTATCTTACACTAGACACTGATTGGTCATATTCACAAGGAACATAATAGATGCGCAGGCGGCCATTGAACCCGCACACGCCGCCATCGATGAGAACGACAGGCGCGCGGCCAGTGGGGACGCGCCCTAACGAGCGGCCGTTGTATGACGTAGTGCTGGCGTGATCTTTAGCTCCGTTCTACCTACTAATTTACTCGCCACACTCGTAATATTTGTCATTATTAAGGTTACAACTCTCTCCTTCATTCTTGGTCCTTCGAGCGGGCCTTAGGGAAATTTGTAACTTTGTTATAGGACACATATTCGAATAAAGCTGATTTACACGTATTAAATAGTAACAACGTATATTAAGCAGTAGTAAGTGATCAAACGGATTGGCAATAGAATAGAATAGAATATTTTTTTATTCAATATTGTGATCGATATTGAATAAAAATAATTCTATATTATTCTATTGCCAAATTCGCTTACCAAATCGTGTAATTCTTATTGAGTAATTTTTTTACTTTACCACTGGTAAAAAAGAAACTTCTGTCCTGGGAAGAACCAGCGAGAAACCCAGCGGAACATTTTTTAAATAAATTTTACATGTGGTTATAAAAACTATTTACAGAATTTATTTTAGAAACAGTGTGGAAGCATATACATATTTACACATAGCATCCATAAATTCCTTAATAAAATTTTTAAACTTTGAACAGGTCTAATTTTGTTTTGAAAATGTGTGTGTAATGGTTACCACGAAGAGATCGCTTTCAGCGATAGGGTCGCCCATTGTAAGACGCACAATTCCCATATTTTTGTAATTTTTGTTTATAGGGTACAGTACAGTTATATTTAAGCTTCGTTCAAACTGAGGCAAATCCCGCACGTCATTAATTTTGGTTTCTCAATAGGAAAACATATCTTTTGATATTGAAGCTGAGGCTTTGTTGTTATTGGCATTAACTGAAGACGAATCTCAAGATGTGAGAAAGAAATATTTCCGTATGCCAGAAGAATGCTATAACTAAATTCAAAGTTCAACGGCATTTCGAATAATCGGACACTATCCCGCGTATATTTCGCTGCAGCACGTGCGACTATTCGCGCCAATGTGAACACGTCCATACAAGTTAGCCGACGCAATCGGCGCGAGCGTATTGCGTCCCGCATCCCGCGTCCTGCGTCCCGCGGGGCATTCGCTTCAATTTGAACGAAGCTTTAGCGCGGGATTCGCCTCAATTTGATCGAAGCTTTAGCGCGGGATTCGCCTCAATTTGATCGAAGCTTTAGCGCGGGATTCGCCTCAATTTGAACGAAGCTTTAGCGCGGGATTCGCCTCAATTTGAACGAAGCTTTAGCGCGGGATTCGCCTCAATTTGAACGAAGCTTTAGCGCGGGATTCGCCTCAATTTGAACGAAGCTTTAGCGCGGGATTCGCCTCAATTTGAACGAAGCTTTAGCGCGGGATTCGCCTCAATTTGAACGAAGCTTTAGCGCGGGATTCGCCTCAATTTGAACGAAGCTTTAGCGCGGGATTCGCCTCAATTTGAACGAAGCTTTAGCGCGGGATTCGCCTCAATTTGAACGAAGCTTTAGCGCGGTATTCGCCTCAATTTGAACGAAGCTTTAGCGCGGGATTTGCCTCAATTTGAACGAAGCTTTAGCGCGGGATTCGCCTCAATTTGAACGAAGCTTTAGCGCGGTATTCGCCTCAATTTGAACGAAGCTTTATTAATATTATTTTATATATCCTAGGTGTGGACATAGCGTTCGTGAAGTGGGGCAACGTGTACCACACTCGCAACGACAAGCAACAGCTGCTGAAACCTGGTGTCGTGCAGAACACGGGCAACATGCTCCTTGGACTCGTGACGAATGTCGCTAATCTGGAAGACCTGGGGACGAAGGTGGTTACCACAGATCATTTACGCCAGCGGTTTTAGCCAATTAACGTTCTACAATCGTCAATATTCATAACTACTACAGTTTAATGAAAGACTCTTTCAACTACCATTCAGCTGCTACTTTACACTGGTATTCTGTGAGATCTATGTCACCAATTATACTAACTATTCTTATTGCTAACTTCATGCTATTCTCTATTCCAGGTGCCACCGACATCATTAGTGTACTACGACTATTTGAACCTATTTTTGATAACCTATTCGACTACTGTATCGCAAATTGTCGATGTACTGGTTGCACTGTTCAGTCTTCTCACCGTCGCCTACTTTTTATGGATCGTTGGATTTAGTAAGTTCATTTCATTTTAGTTAGGTTTTACAATTTTTACAAGAGATTAAACCGCCCCCCCCCCCTCCTCCCTCATTAAAGTAACTCTTCTTTAATCCTTCTTACACACACATCGCCCTGCACGTACACCTACTCAAACACAATTCATTATGTCACAGCAAAGTGGAATAATTTGCCAGTCATTAATATGTTTATCTATTTTTTAATTCGGCTGCTTCACCACTTACCATCAAGTGAGTTAGTGGTCGCCAACTGGCTTATCTTATTTAGTTTGAAAAGCAACCCCCCCCCCTCCTTCATTGCGTGCAATATCCACTAATCTCAGCACCACTGCTCCCAACAATGTAGTGGACACTAGGAAAGACACACCACCGACGATAATACGACACGTGTTTCGCCCCTACACGAGACATCTTCAGGTGTAGTGGACCTTGCGGCGGCTAACCGTTAAGATCACTTATTACAGGATCAGTGGTGACAGGGATACTGCACACAACTGAGGGAGGGCGGGAGGTGCTTTTCAAACTACGTAAGACACATTATTTTATTTCAAACGCGGATCTTAGATTTTTTTATCGGATTGGGTGACAAACGAGCACCCAGCCCACCTGATGGTAAGTGATTGTGACCTGCATGTCTAAGAAATTAAAAAATATATATTTCTAAGATATATGTAGTCCGTCAACACGAATTGTGGCAGCACGGCGGACATTTCCTTGCCCCAAAACCCTCTCAGAAGTGATGGAAGGCCTCAGAAGTGAGAGAAGGCATGTGCCCAGCTGCGGGTTGTGAATATAGGCAGTAACTTTAACGTGAAAAAAGATATATTATTAATATAACGGTTTATTTTCAGGACGTTCATCTCTGAGCGATTTATTTATTACCGCTCTGGGTCGAATCCTTGCTTTGTTGGTGGGAGCGGTGACGGTGGTAATTCTGGTGCTATTGATGGCTGCCACCACCACGCAGTTGAGGTGAGTGTAACCAGTTAATAACGTCCTACGATGTAATGTGTAGTTCTGTTCTGGGACTTTTAGCGTACCATTTATTAATAGTAGGAATGGATCTGGCAGTTTTATTATCGCGCTTTTAAATCCATGGCAGTGCCGTACTAATTCATAAAATGGGTGCCAATCATTTAAAATCACTTTCTTTTTATAGGATAAGGATGACAAACGAGCACACAGTCCACCTGATGGTAAGTGGTATGCTGTGACGACCCTACGACGGTCTTACCACGCCCTCACTCCATTTAGTGGGTGAGGGGCACACTTCGCCTACCGGTACGAGGCTACCAACCGAGAACCTTGCTTCCCCATCGGTTGTCAGTTCTTCCAGCTATATGGCCGGCCCATTGCTGAAGTAACAAGGCAACTTACTATCTCCGATCTATAATCGGTTGAAAGACAGATGCTGGCACATTATTCCACTCCTTTATAAAACACCGTAAGGAAACCTATATATCAGATTAACGAATATTTAGAGTACATGTGCTAATCATGTAGTGGCGGTGTAAGAATATCCACTACCCCATATCGTTCCGTGGGTGTCGTAAGAGGCGACAGAGAAACAAACCAGGAGATGTGCAGCAGCGTCTTCCTAATAACGACTATAATAAAACAATTACGGTTGCCAACCCGCTTGCCAAGCTTGGCAACTATGGAGAATATCCCCTTTATTAGGTCATCTATGGCTAAGCCTATGTTCAAAAAGCACATTGAAGTTCACACAGGTTACACAGTGAAGTTCGTAAACACATTCAGGCAACGCGCTCTCTTCCCCTTGCCCAGCGGTGGGAGTGTCTAAGCAGTCATTTTTAACTTTTTTATGACAGAAGAAAATTTTTTTCTAGGTACCTTTCGAAACCCTGGTTGACCGTTCCACTATACTGGATCCCATTCCTCATAGCGTCGCTCGTCACATCACTCACTTATGATTCGGGTAATTCTATGAAGGTTAGGGCTTTGCAAATGTTACTAAAATTTGTTCGGTTATATTTTTTTTATTGAATAAGGAAGACAAATAAGCACACAATACACCTGATGGTAAGTGGATGCTGTATACCGCAGACATCTACGTCTGTCCATTAAGAATCAAGATGCAGATGCGTTGTCACCCGTGAGGACTAAGATGGCCTCGTTTCCAGTAAGAATGATCTCCAGTTCTCTAAACTCACCATACGAAACACAGCAGCGTTAAGCTGCTATTTTACGCTGGTATTCTGTGAGAGCGTGGTCTTTCCCCGGTCGGTCGAGCCGACCTATTCGTGCTACATCTATGCTACTAATATAGCTGCAGCATGGCTCTTCTACCACGTAAAAAAATCTATACGTTCATGTAACGCAATATTTTAATGTAATTTTCACCAACTTGTAGACGGCCGATTGACTTGAAAATTTGCAAGGATCTATGACAATACAATATTTTAACAACTTTGTCCTAGTATTCTGATCACTAGGATTAAATAAAATAATTATATTAATAATATATATGTCGGAGAATTCAACAGAGTATTCCACTTGTGATCTCGGAAATACATCATGATAGCGTTAATTGTTAAAAATAATAAAAGTGTGAAAGCGGATGTTCAACTTGCTCTCTTGCTTACGCAGTTTAATCATTATCAGTAATAAGACAACGCAACGCACTATACATTCAGTATAGTGAAATTACAGTTCGACCACACCGTAACACGTCTCCGCCACAATCACACACCAGTGCAACGTGAGGTACGTAATTACATGATAACACCAAAATATGCAAACCAACAGCAACACTACTTATCTCAATGTAACACGGGGCAGCCTCTCAGCAACACCAATCTTCCTTGCCTACACTAGAAGAATTACAACAACGAACAGAACCATGACACTATCTTAGCACTAGTAGAATGACCACCCTCGTTGAAAGACTTGAGCGGAATCTCGCGCACGGCACCTACAGTGAACTTTATACTGCACAAAAAAGTGGGGGTTTTTCGATATACCCTCATTTCCACCTCGATCCAAGTGATATTTTATTGATGCTCCGACATATAATAATAATTATCTGGATCATCACTTTTTTTAAACTCCTATATTACTTCTAACTTACAGGGTGGATTAAACCGTTCGCTACGTGCGCTTCAAGCGATGGCAGCAACTCGGCTTCTACTCGGAGCAACGTTGCTTGTTCTCGCGTTCTTGCCAAGTCTGGCCGGCTTGCGTTACGTGATCAGCGTGTCACTCTTTATAATGTCCGCTGCGTCACTGATATCTATGAATATTGTAAGATATTTACGGTTGAAAGGTGAGATTTTAGTTTATTTTAATAATTAATAGAATCAGGCGTTACTTTGCGGAAGTCCATTATATTAAAGTTGGTAAAAAATTACTTCGCGTACATCCGCTCGATAAATAAAATGATGTGTCTTACCTAGTTTGAAGAGCACCTCCCGCCCTCCCTCAATTGCGTGCACTATCCCCGTCACCACTAATCCCACAAAGACTCTACGGTGACCCACCGCATTATTTATTTACCTGAAGATGCCTCGAGTAGAGGCGAAACACGTGTGGTATGTCTTTCCTAGTGTATTTTTATTGAGGGAGGGCGGGAGGCGCTCTTCAAACTTGGTAAGACACATCATTTTATTTTTAAGCGGATGTACGCGAAGTAATTTTTTACCAACTTTAACTTAGTTTATTTAATAATTTTTTTTATATAACCGTGTAGTGGCGTTGTAAGAACATCCACTACCTCATACAGTCCCGTGGGTGTCGTTAACTGCTACAGAGGGAAACTAATATACGGTAACAGCCGAACTGCGGTTGCCAACCCGTCTGTCAATCGTGGCAAGTATGGCAAACTCCACCCTATGTGGCAATCTATGGGGGAGTCTATGTTCAGCTCACTATAATTTCCTTTACCACAGACACTAATAATGAAATATTGCAGCATGGCAACAGTTATTACTGGAGTTCGTTCTGTCGCTGCCGTCGACTATGTTCCTGATGTCTATGTCGTTGAGGCTGGGCGCCATCTTGTTGCCCACTGCTGGGCGACTACCAAACAACAATCCGGACTACCTTGTGGGCGGAATCAACTTAGCTCTCGCTATCCTTGTTTCCAGTACTGTGGTGAGTAGATTTTCGGGATAAATATGTGTAAATACTGTTGTAAATTGTGGGTAGATATGGATGTTTGTCCTTGTGCAGTTTATGTATTATAAACTGCTTCCACGATACAGGAGGAAATCCTAGTGTGGGCTAAATTAAAAAAAACTTCATTGTTCTAACCATAAAGCTTACAAAGGCTGTGCTTAATGTCAGTAAGCGTTCTTGCCAGTCGACCCATGGCGTGGCGAATTTTTTTTGTTTTTATAACAGAGGGGGTAAATGAGCATACGTATCACCAGAGAGAACAACTGCAACACCAGGAGAATTGCTGGCGCGTTGCCGGTTTGCTGTGAGGCCGAACTTGCGCCTTGTAAAGTTGTAGGCGGTGTGGCGGCATGGAATACTGTCCTGCTCAGCTTCTTATTCAAGTGACCATGAACCTGCACGTCACTCGATATGTCGACGCCGAGAATTCCGATACTGGCTGAGGCAACAAAGGGAGTGCCTTGAACCTTAGGAGATACGACGAAGGGGTTCTTTACATTGACTAAGAGGACTAGACAATGGTCCGAGGAGCCAAGAGGGGCGTCGACGGAGACCTGATATCTGTCCGGATGAGAGGTCAGCAGAAGGTCCAACAAGGAAAGTGCATGATCCTCCACATCTGTAATCCGCGTAGGCGAAGTAACCAGTAGTGTCAGACAATATGCCAAGGCAAAGTCATGAACAGATCTTCCCGCATGATCGGTTAAACGTGAACCGAGCCATTCAACGTGGTGGGCGTTAAAATCACCAAATATTTCTATTTTGATTACTGCTGCACCGCCTCTGGTTTTTGTATCTCTGTTTAGCCCAATGGTTGACTGGGAGAGAATGCCCTTTGGCAATAAGTCTGCCATATGTACAACTTTGTGCATGAAACATTAAATAAATAAATCACTGCGGATTGAACCTGTTGTAGCAAAGAATCTGCAAAATATACGCAAACTCCAGCCTGAGGCACAAAGTAGTGTTGCAATTTGTACCCCGAGTAGGAGAGATACGAAGTATCAGCCGGAGAGGACACCCGCGTCTCGGTCAGAAAGAGCAAGGCCGGCTTTGCCGTCTCGGGAGAGTAGTGGACGGCGCTTAGGTTCGAGTGAAGTCCCCTGATGTTGCAGAAATTCACGGATAGCGTGGCAGGGGTCGCCTTGGTTTTGTTGCTCAGTTTGTTTTTCTTGTCCTTCTAGACTTCAATAACGCGTTTAATTATGTTGACTATGACATTTTGTTAAGAATTCTAAAATCCCTGAATTTAACATCATCAATTGTACAATGGTTCCATTCCTATCTTCGGGGACGCCAGGAACGAATACGTGTTGACGATAAGTTCTCCGATTGGTGTAACGTTGTTGCTAGTGTTTCACAAGGCGGTGTTTTATCTCCGTTTCTTTTTCTGTGTTTATTAATGCACTTGTCTCGATAATAAATTTCAGCAAGTATCAGCTGTACGCAGAAGATGTCCAGCTGTATCAGCATTTTAGTGTAAATGACCTAAATGCATCTGTGGACAGATTGAATTTAGATCTTGTTGCAATTCATCTGTGGACAGGCTGTCATGGACTAATATTAAATCTTGCCAAAACACAGGTTATAATCATAGAAAGTAGAAAACATCTACGTAAGGTCATTCTAAACGGTGTAGATTTAGAATATGCTAGGCAGGTTAACAACCTCTGCTTAATTTTGGTTGACGATGCTAAGTTGGGTGTCACAAGTTAATGAGGTTCGGAAACGTATTTTTAGCACAATGCATCCATTAAAGCTCTGGCAAAAATTTATCCCTCAAACGGCCAAGATTAGGTTAGTCAACTCACTGTAACTTCTTATTTTAGATTTTGCTAATATTTCTTATCCAGATATAACTGAGGGGCTACTTAGCAAATTCGACCGTCTGCTCAATCTGTGCATACGCTATATTTTTGGCCTGCGCAAGTTTGATCATATATCACAGTTTCGCTCAAGACTTAAGTAGCTCAACATCCGTTTTCGCCGGAACACACACCTTCTAATCACTTTGTATGGTATTCTTCACAATCCTTATTACCTAGCTTATCTGAAAGAGTGTTTTTCCTACTTAAGCTTACCCCATTCGATGACCAACAAAACTCTAACTATCCCGATGCATAAATCTACATACTACTCGGTTTCCTTTACGGTATATACAATTACACTTTGGAATAACGTTCCAAGAGATATAAAAGATGCTCCCTCAATAAATACATTTAAACGTAAGGTTGAGGCACATTATTTAAAATTACTTAATTAATGTTATTGGTTTATATAATATTATAATTTTCTATACTAGATTGTATGTATTTATATTTATATGTATATATACATTTGTATATATGTATGTATCTGTATATAAGTGTATATATGTATAAAGTAACATATTTATATTATATTATATGTTTTGAGTAATACGTGAAAATATGTTAGTTTTTTTCTGTTGCGGCTCTACCCATAGCTCTCACCACACTACTAAAGGTTAGCTGGCAGAGAATGCCTTTTCGGCATTAAGTTCGCCTTTGTACCAAATGTACAAACAATTCTTTGAGTGCAATAAACAATTTTCTATCTATCTATCATATATTACTTAAAATAATAAAATCAGTGTGCCACCAGCTAGCATTTATTTTATTACAAATAGTATATGTGTTTCGCCCCATAATGAGACACTAAACGTGTCTTGAGATATTTAAATAAAATTTTGCTTTCTATATACAAAGCGTGTTTCGCCTCATAATGAGACACTAAGCGTGTCTACTGTCTATATTTAAAGAAAATTTACCTAATAAGTAAAAGCAGACTTCAAAGAACAAAACAGAATAAAATAATGATCACAATACCTTCCAAAATTTAAGGCAAGGCGTGAAGAAAAAAAATTAATTATTTATTTTTTTAATTCAATATTTTGACTTTTAACAATTAGAATGTCATTTTAGGGGTTATGTTAAAAATTTCATTCTATCTTATATCTTTCTTCTCTTAGGGTTGCAATTTTTTCTCCAGATTTATCTTATAACATTTTTCTGATGTTCTTTCTGAATGAATAACTGTTCCAAATTGATAAATATACCGCGTAACATCAAACACTTCTATCTATACTCTTAGACGATATCTGCGGCCTAATACATTTTGCATTAGGTTACGGTTAATTCTCCGTAACTCCTTTAGCCCGCACGGTGACACAGTTTTTGTTCGGAATTGCCGCTCTAATAGTAATATTGTATAAGTCTTTGCGTAAGATATACATACAAATAAAGATTTAAAAAAAATACAGTCAAAATGGATACTTCTTTTTTGAAGTCGGCTAAACATATAGTTTCTTTTCAGTCGGGCATCGAACTGCTGTTCTCTAGAAAACGACTCTGGTTACCCGTCGGCTTAATATCCATCGTGTGTGTCCTTCTGATGTTTGTGCCAATGAGTCCGTACGAAGATGATGGCATTGCGACACAGAGGCACTATTGGTTTGTGAGTACTTCGATTGTTACTTAATTTGCTTGTTTTATTATTATTATTTTTATGGGATAAGGGTGACAAGCGAGCACAAAGTCCACCTGATGGTAAGTATACCATCAGGTGGACTTTGTGCCACCTGATGGTATACTTACCATAGACATCCACACCTATAATCGTTTGAGAATCAAAATTCAGATGCGTTGTCAGCCGTGAGGACTAAGATGGAATGCCTCTTTTCCAGTAGAAAGGGTCTCCGGTTCTCTACACTCACCATACGAAACACAGAAGCATAATCTTCTATTTTACGCTGGTATTCTGCAAGAGCGTGGTCCTTCCCCGGTCGAGCCGACCCATTTGTGCTACAGCTATACAATTAATATAGATGCAGCATGGCTCTACCACATACATTATTCTCGAAAATGGGTTTGTAATTAATTAATATCACACGTTGATAACAGTAACGTGTTAGCGTGTAGTGGCGGTGTATGAATATCCACTATTCCATGTCGTCCCACGGGTATCGTAAAAGGCAACAGAGGGAAACGAAACTAAGCGATGAACTAAACTGGAAAATAAAAAGCTTCGGTTGCCAACCTATTTGCCAGCCGTGGCAAATGTTATGAGGCAATCAATGAGGGCCACAAAGCTACCAGTGCTACCACTTAAAAACGAGGTGAAATATTTGACAAATTACATGTCGGGGAAGTTAATTTGTGAGAAAAATGTAAGGGTTAATGTTTGGTTTTGTAATATTAGTTATATTTTATATTAATTAGATTCGAAATGAATAAACGAAACTACAGGTATTACAAAAAGAAGAAAAATTAAAAAAAGTGAAAAACATTAAGCAACGAACCACTGAGGCATTGTTTTTTGTATTTATCTAATACTCTAGAAACCGATAAAATTTTATTTAAAACCAATTTGTCAATTATATGACACTGTACCAAAAAAAGCTTCACCTCAGTACCTACTAGCGACATCTGGTGAACGAAAGATTATTGGGAAGGTCAGTAACGAGGCTTCGGGAACTACTTCAATAAACCGTTTATGTAATTTTAATCGTAAAACTTTATTTTGATCGATTACTATTCGTATAAACGTATAGGTGTGTCGGCTAGTGATCGCGGAGGTGTAATTCATTTTATTTTTATTTATTTATTTAAAAACAATTGAACGTAATATTATATAATTGCCGTGTAGTGGCGGTTAAGAATATCCACTACCCCATATCTTCCCGTGGGTGTCGTAAAAGGCGACAAAGGGAAACGGGCAGGAGATGGGCAGCAGCATCTTCCTGGTAACGGCAAAAATACAATAAAAAACTGCGGTTGCCAACCCGCTCGCCAAGCGTGGCAACTATGGCAATATACCCCCCATGATGAAAGTTACGAAGAGACGGCCCCCAGTCCCCGGCGGCCCCGCTATACCTGGCTACAGTGGCGACCATGGTAACGGCGGGGCAGGGGGTGATAAGAATCTCCGGTGGAGGTTCGGTTGCCACCTACGACGACTCGACCTGGCAACATACAACGCACGCACCCTGAGGACTGACGAGAAGATTGTGGAGCTGGAAGAAGAGATAGACAAGTTACGCTGGAATATTATAGGATTATCCGAAGTCCGAAGAGAGGGGGAGGACACGGTAATCCTCGAATCCGGCAACTTGCTCTATTACCGGGAGGGCGACCATCTGTCCCAAGGAGGTGTCGGATTTATCGTCCACAAGTCTCTCGTTAACAACGTTGTAAAGATTGAGAGTGTGTCGACGAGGGTTGCGTACCTTATACTCAGAATCACCAAACGGTATTCGCTGAAGGTCATACAGGTTTACGCGCCAACCTCGGCACACCCCGATCAGGAGGTGGAGGAAATGTATGAGGATATCTCTAGAGCCATGCATTCCTTCAAAACCCAATATACGGTGTTAATGGGAGACTTCAATGCAAAACTAGGCACAAGAGAGAACGGTGAGCTGAAAGTGGGGAAATTTGGAATAGGGCAACGGAACCCAAGGGGCCAGCAGCTGGCCGACTTCATGGAGAAAGAGGGACTCTTTATGATGAACTCTTTCTTCCAGAAGCGGCCCCACAGGAAGTGGACCTGGTCGAGCCCCGACGGTTCGACAAAAAATGAGATTGATTTCATTATGACAACCAGACGACAACTGTTCAGTGATGTCTCAGTGATCGCGAGGGTGAAAACCGGCAGCGATCACCGAATGGTTAGAGGCACACTGAACCTAAACGTTAAGTTGGAGAGGTCTCGTCTAATGAAGTCAACGCTCCGTCACCCTCGTGCTCTAATCCAAAGTTCCGAAACCTTTTAGCTCGAGTTACAAAACCGTTTTCAGTGCCTAGAAGACTGCAATGAAGTGGACGATTTGAATGACAAGCTCGTGGAAACTGTCCATGGGGTCGGAGCTAAGTTCTGAAAGACCCGCCGCAGAAGAACACAAAAACTCTCCGATCACACTTTTAATCTCATGGCTGTTAGACGGGAGATGAAGCTACATTCTTCAACAGATTTGACAGCATACAGACAACTGAACAGACAGATCTCTAAATGCATGCGGCGGGACTTACGCAACTTCAATACAGCTCGTATTGAAGAAGCGATCGAGCGGAACCACTTGACGACTTCCAGCCTCCCGAACAAGCCGGTTTCCGAAAAGGCTTTAGCACCATAGACCACATACATACCCTTCGGCAAATTGTACAGAAGTCCGAGGAGTACAATTTGCCACTATGTCTGGTGTATGTGGACTATGAGAAAGCCTTTGATTCCGTCAAAATTTGGGCGGTGCTGCAGTCCCTTCAGCGATGCCAAGTTGACTGTCGGTATGTCGAAGTGTTGAAGTGCTTGTACAGTAGGGCTACGATGGCTATCCGAGTACAGAACCAGAGTACGAAACCTATCCAATTGCAGAAAGGTGTAAGACAGGGTGACGTCATATCCCCGAAACTCTTTACCGCTGCATTGGAAGATGTTTTCAAGCTTCTGGACTGGAAAGGATACGGTATCAACATCAATGGCGAGTACATCACTCACCTTCGATTTGCCGACGATATAGTCCTTATGGCAGAATCGCTGGAGGATCTAAGCACTATGCTCAATGAACTCAATAGTGTTTCCCAACGGATAGGTCTTAAGATGAACATGGACAAAACAAAGATCATGTTTAATGTCCATGTCACACCTATGCCGGTAGTTGTTGGGAACACTAAGCTCGAAGTTGTTGACGAGTATGTTTACCTGGGACAAATAGTCCGACTATGTAAGTCCAACTTCGACCGAGAGGTCAATCGACGGATTTAACTCGGTTGGGCAGCGTTCGGGAAATTACGGCACATCTTCTCGTCAGGTATACCTCAAAACTTGAAAACGAGACTGTACACCCAGTGCGTGTTGCCAGTGATGACATATGGAACTGAGACGTGGTCCTTCACTGTTGGCCGGATGAGGAAGCTGAAGGTCGCTCAGCGAGCTATGGAGAGGGCTATACTCGGAGTTTCTCTGCGTGATAAACTCAGAAATGAGGATATCCGCAGTAGAACCAGAGTGACCGACATAGCCCAACGGATTAGTTAGCTGAAGTGGCAATGGGCCGGCCATATAGCTCGAAGAACCGACAACCGATGGGGAAGAAAGGTTCCCGAGTGGCAGCCTCGTACCGGCAGGCGAAGTGTAGGGCGTCCCCCAACTAGATGGAGTGACGACCTGGTAAGATATGCAGGAAGTCGATGGATGCAGGTGGCTCATGACCGTGCTTTGTGGCATTCTTTGGGGGAGGCCTATGTTCAGCAGTGGACTTGTGAAGGGCTGTAATGATGATGATGATGATGATGATGATGAACGTAATAAATGCAAAGTTACAATCTGGATGCGCAAAACAAAACATGCGCACACACCATGATATTAGGTAACAGAACAAGTTTACAACGCAAATATTTATAACCTTACTTACAAACGTGCATATATACTTATAAACTTATGTTGTGGAAAATTTTGAAAAATTAAATCTTTATTAAAATAATATTCATGATGAGGTGTAATGGTTGTAATGGCGGTAACAGCTAACAACAAGATTTATAAGGCCTCTTCCATTGCCTCTTTCATTGCCTCTTTCATTGCCTCCTCTCATTGCCTCCTCTCATTGGCTTTATAAATGGCATTATAAAGATGTTATTTGTAACTTGTTGGTAAATAAATAAATAAATAAAATAATACATAATACACATATTTTAGGCATACTTACATATGAACATACACAATATCAACTTAAATCATTTATAATCTAATAGTTTATTCATGGAGTGGTGAGATTTTGACTGCGAGACGTAAATATATAATAAAATTACAGCTTATATATACTAGGCATCGCTAGATGCAAGCCAGACGTATTTTTACTTGACATACACTCCAAGAACAATAGAAAAAGGAACATAACTATTTGTTATCAACATTTTAAATTCCTTTGTCTACAATTTCTATTCCGTTTTTTTTTATAACTGACTTTACGGCTCTGGGTTCTAGCCCTTCTGAGTTGCTTACTGCTTTACAATATGTCGATGCGTCACTTTGTGCATCCCTTGGGAGATTTTGACGTTAACGAGCCAGCAGACAGCTGACAGTTGGCGATGGTATCTCAAGGTGCCTAAGCAGACAGACACCTTATCTTGAGAATCACATCACCATCAAAGCACTTGTTTCACCGTTTCCACTAATAGTTCACATGCGCAGACACTTAATACACAAAATCGCACCACTTTTACATATCAAAATCCACTTCAAACCATTATTTAAACAATAACACAGGAGCAACAATCCGCTGACGGTAAAGTTCCCGCCAAAATTCTCTCTACTCCGTGTGACTGTTACGGCTACAGACTTACGGGTTTGACCTTGACAGTATGAATGTGAGCAACGAATGCTTTATTAATGTATTAGTAACGCATTATTTATAAATTTCTCCTTCTTCATATAAACTTTAACTATGCAAAATCTCACACTCCTCCGTGTGCGTAATATGTTTTCTCTTCATAATATAGTATAAATAATTAAGGTTGTTATTTTTTTTATTTTTGCAGCATTCTAAAATAGTAACGTACGATGAGAACGCAACGGAAGTGGAGCGAACAACCGGAGTACTAGTGACCAGACACGATGCCTACACTCTGAGCACTGTACTCCCGGCATTAGAGGAGAAGGGGATACAGCTCGAGAGCAAAACCGACTTCGCTGAGGACTGCAGGAGATACGTACACTGCAACCTGCCCCTCTACAGGCCAAGGTTCGCGCAGTATTTGTAAGTATGCAGCTGTACAATGCCCAGCTGAGGGCCTTTCTTTTTTTTGTTGGAAATTTAATGTACAGTGATTTCTTAAATTAACGCGAACATCATCATCATCATCATTACAGCCTTTCATAAGTCCACTGCTGAACATAGGCCTCCCCCAAGGAATGCCACAAAACACGGTCCTGAGCCATCTGCATCCATCTACTTCCTGCATGTCTCGTCACTCCATCTCGTGGGGGGTGTAGTGTAGGGCACACTTCGCCTACCGCTATGAGGCTGCCACTCAAGAACCTTTCTTCCCCATCGGTTGTCGGTTCTTTGAGCTATATGGCCGGCCCACTGCCACTTCAGCTTACTAATCAGTTGGGCTATATCGGTCACTCTGGTGCTACTGCGGATATCGTCATTTCTGAGTTTATCACGCAGAGAAACTCCGAGCATAGCCCTCTCCATAGCTCCATAGCTGAGCGACCTTGAGCTTCCTCATACGGCCAGCCGTGTGAATTAACGCGAACACTACACATTAAATGAAACTAATTTTACGGATTTTACCGCATTTAATTTTAACTTTTCAGTCACGGGGGGATTTGAGTTTTCGAATATAAATTTTTGGAGTTAACTATGAAATTGGGATGTCAAACATCTAGGATCCATGGGGCCGAAGCCCGAAACGTCGGGTATTAAAAAGTCGAAAATTTAACGTGATAAAATTCGTAAAATTAGTTTCATTTAAATTTAATGTATGTTCACAAAAAAAAACAGATTTAGTAAAAAAAAAGCTAGTGATACCAGTCTATCGTGTGCCATAACTCTACAGAGTAAGTAATTCTTCATGGGACAATGTATACGCTATTACAACAAAGTACCAGAAAATATACAAGGTCTCTATATTACCAAGTTTAAATATTTTATTAAACACAAACTTTATAAAAAGGGCTATTATAATGTTACGCGCCACTATTAATGTCTTGTACATGGCAACACTAGTTACACTAGCGCCCCCTAGTGTCGAGTAAATGAAAGTATTGCGCGCCACTATTAATGTCTTGTACATGGCAACACTAGTCACACTAGCGCCCTCTAGTGTCGAGTAGCAGAACTAGGAGAGTCGAGATCCTTCCAGAAATTTCGGGACCGATATGTACTCGAACATTCTAGATGTCGCTACAGTAGAAGATTCTGGAAACTATCTGAGGCCCTATATAAGGCCGGTATAGACCACGACCGAGGCAGTATTGAATTGGCGATACAAGAGAATACTTCGAAGCGAAATAACGGCGAACTGTGTTTTATTATTAGTGTGATTTTTGATTGTAATTAGTGTTGTGTAATTAAAGTGTCAATTTTGGTAATTCAATCGGCAGTTTTTAATTGTCTTGAACCCCAAGCTCGTAACAATTGGTGTCAGAAGTGGGATCAAATATGCCGATTTTACCTAAAGACGACACGGAGGGTATCCGTACCCGAAGTCAACGCCAACAGGAGACGGACCAGAGACGATTTGGTAATGCAACGCCGCAAACGTCGGAGGGCCAGTTGCTAACCACGGAGGCTGGCCCGTCAGCAGCTCCTGCATCTGCAGCACCTGACTTAGGTGCTCTGATGATGATGCTGCAGGATCAGGCTCGCCGACAGGAGGAACAGGCCCGCCGACAGGAGGAACAGACCCGTCGGCTGGAAGAGCAGCTGCAGCGCGGTATGGAAGAACAGATGCTCCTCAGGAAGGACCTTCACGCTACCTTCGGGAAAGAGATAAAGGAGGTGAAGGATAGGGTTGCTCAACATGACAACCGCCTGTCGGAAGCTGAAACCCGAATCAACCAAGTGAACAATCGGGTTGACAACGTGATGGCTGATGTGAAGAAAACGCTGGACGACCTCAAACTTGGGGATGGAATCACAGCTCCCGTGGTAGCTACAACACCTTCGCTACGTGGATTCAAAGTGCCACCGTTCGACGGGACTTCTTCCTGGTCGGCCTATAAAATCCAGTTCGAGGCTGTCATGAAAGCGAACGGCTGGAATAAAAGTCAGGCCATGACTGCTCTCACCCTAGGCCTGCGCGACCAGGCATTAACTGTTCTGGAAGCTCTCGGTAAGGAAGTGACTTACGAGCAGCTCCTTGAGGCATTGGAGGCGAGATATGGCGACGCTCACCTGGAACACGTCTTTCGTGCGCAGCTCAAAGATCGCGTGCAACGCAGTAACGAAAACCTGCAGCAGTGGGCCCTTGAGGTGGAGAAGCTGGTTCGAAAAGCGTACCAGTCTGTACCTGCGCTTATTGTAGGGAACCTGGTGCAGACATTCATCGACGGCATCCGCGACCTTGAAGTCAGAGCTGCTGTGAGGCTCGGGCACCACGAGACGCTTAAGGACGCCTTGACCCATGCACTGGAGGTGGAAGCCGTGCGGCAGGATCATCGTTCCCACCGCGTCAGGGAGGTTGCAGCAGCTAAAGTTCAGGACCGCAATAAAAGCTACAGCCCTAGGTGCTACGGCTGTGGAGAAAGGGGCCATCTTCGATCCAGCTGCCCTAAGCGAACTGTAAAAAGGGAAGGTGATCGATCTCGAGAGGGTAGTGCGGATAATAGCACCGCCCAGCAGCAGCAGGGAAACTGGCGGGTGCTGGCTGATGTTAAAAGAGCCCCAAGGATTTCGATCTCACAAACTCATGATGGGAACAGCCTAATCATCAAGGGCGAAGTCAACGGAACGCCATGTAAACTGACCATAGACACTGGAGCCTCTCGCACGGTTGTCAGTTCCCAACTTATAAGTCGGTTCCTTGGTGACTCCGCATACAACCGAGAACGCATTAATTTGGTGACAGCCACTGGTCAGCGCATACCCGTCCGTGGAGAGAAGGAGATGGAGTTGAAGCTAGGCAACATGATCTACCTGCATAATGTCATCGTGGCTGATATAATGGACGACTGCATCCTGGGCCTAGACTTTATGAGGAAGAATTGTTGTGAGATCGACGTTAAGCAAGGTGTTTTGAAATGTGGACAAGAAGAACTTTTCGTGGAAGGGGCGTTACCAGGGAATGTGTACAGCCTTAAGAAGATTGTTCTTCCGCCGAGATCGGAAACGATTGTGCCGGTTAGTCTTCCTCGGAGTCCTGGGCAAGCTCATCGTTGTGTACTCGTGGAAAGGGTAGACAATGACATTCCATGGAAAGTGGCTCGAACCTTGGTCAGAACCACCGACATCTCAGGAGTACGTGTGTTGAACCTTTGTGATCAGGAACAGATTATAGAAAAAGGCACACTGGTTGGTACTAGTGAGGAAGTGGATTGGTTGCGTCGATGCGAATATTTATCGACTGGGACCCTTAGCAAGGATGGACAAACGAGAGTGACCACACTTTTAGAAGACTGTCGCAGCGTTCTCTCCCCGAATGAAATGGTCAAGGCGAAGAAGTTGTTACTCAAGTACGCCAATATTTTCTCGTCAAACGAAGCTGACATAGGAAAGACTGGCTTAGTTCAACACAAAATAAACACAGGACAAGTATTGCCTATTCGTCAGCGGCCAAGAAGATTGCCTGTAGCACGTGAAAAGGAAGTGGAAACCATGATTGAGGGAATGGTGAAGGATGGTGTTATTGAACCTTCATCTAGTCCATGGTGTTCACCTGTGGTGCTGGTAAAGAAGAAGGACGGCAGCATGCGGTTTTGTGTTGACTACCGCCGCCTGAACGACGTTACGAAGAAGGACAGCTATCCCTTGCCTAGAATTGATGACACGCTGGACATGCTCACAGGCGTAAAGTGGTTTAGTACGCTGGACCTGAAAAGTGGCTACTGGCAGGTTGAAATTGACCCTAAGGACAAGGAGAAAACTGCATTCTCCACAGGAAAGGGTCTGTGGCAATTTAAAGTCATGCCGTTTGGATTGTGCAATGCTCCAGCAACGTTTGAAAGATTGATGGAGCTTGTACTTACCGGGCTAATTGGAGATGCTTGTCTGGTCTATTTGGATGACATCATCATCGTAGGCCGTACGTTTGAGGAACACCTTCAAAACCTGGAACGCGTGCTCATGAAGATCCAGAGTGCCAACCTCAAGTTGAGTCCAAAGAAGTGCTCACTATTCAAACGGCAAGTTAGTTTTTTGGGGTATGTAGTGTCGGAAGAAGGTATCCGCACGGATCCAGAGAAAATTGCTGCTGTCAAGGAGTGGCCGGTCCCAAAAGACAAGACACAGGTTAGAGCATTTTTGGGTTTGTGCTCTTATTATCGGCGATTTGTGAAGAACTTTGCAGATATAGCCAAACCTCTGCACAAGCTAACCGAGGAGAAGCGACAATTCTGCTGGGATGAAAGTTGTGATATTGCATTCCAGGAGCTCAAGAACCGCCTGTGCAAAACACCTATTTTGGGGTACCCTGATGCGGGCAAGGAATTCATAGTTGACACAGACGCAAGTGATATAGGACTTGGCGGTGTGTTGTCTCAACGGAATGGTGATCAAGAGATTGTGATAGCGTACTTCAGCAAGTCGTTGTCAAAGCCGGAAAGGAACTATTGTGTCACAAGACGGGAATTGCTTGCTGTGGTAAAGTCCTTGCAGCATTTTAGCAAATATCTTCTAGGGCGGAAATTCCACTTACGAACTGACCATGCTGCACTGAAATGGCTATTGCAGTTCAAAAATCCGGAAGGACAAGTTGCGAGATGGATAGAACTACTGCAGGAATACGACTTTGTGATCGAACATCGCAGCGGGAAATCTCATGGCAATGCAGATGCATTGTCAAGAAGACCTTGCCCTGAAGATTGCAAGCATTGTACTAGGCAAGAGGGTAAGGAAGTGGTATCTGTGAGAATGCTCAGGACAGACCAGCTCAGCAATGAGTGGAAGGACAGCCTACAACATGCACAGCAGGAAGATTCGGACATTAAGCCGATTCTGGAATGGATGAAGGCCAGTGCTCCTAAGCCCAAGTGGAGCGACGTCTCAGCAATGAGTTCGACCACGAAAAGCTATTGGGCCCAATGGGACAGCTTGCTGATTCAGGATGGAGTCCTGTGCCGTAAATGGGAAAATGGTCGGGGAGACAGGTGTCATTTGCAAATGGTTGTCCCTAAGGCTAAAGTGCCGGATATTCTACGGCTGTACCATAGTGGTTGTTCAGGAGGCCACCTGGGAGTTAAACGAACTCTCCTGAAGATCCGAGAACGGTTTTACTGGGTCCACTGTCGTGACGATGTCGAGGACTGGTGCCGCAAATGTACAAGTTGTGCGGCTGTAAAGGGACCTCAAATTCGTAGTAGAGGCGCATTGAAATTGTACAATGTTGGTGCACCATGGGAGAGGATAGCCATTGACGTTGCGGGGCCGTTTCCGGAAAGTGAAAGTGGTAACAAGTATTTCATGGTAGTGATGGATTACTTCACTAAGTGGCCAGAAGTCTTCGCCATTCCAAACCAAGAAGCTTCAACAGTTGCAGATAAACTAGTTCATGAAGTCTTCTGTCGTTTTGGAGTACCTTTAGAGATTCACAGCGATCAAGGAAGGAATTTTGAGTCTCAAATATTCCAGGAAACTTGCCGAGTTATGGGTACTCATAAAACACGAACAACTTCTTACCACCCACAATCTGATGGAATGGTAGAACGATTTAATCAGACATTGGAGAGGTACCTAGCAAAAGTTGTGGAAAAACGGCAACGAGACTGGGACAGGCACATACAACCGTTTTTGTTGTCATATAGAAGCGCTGTTCACGAAAGTACATCAGTGACACCAGCTTTCGCAAACTTTGGGAGAGAATTGCGGCTGCCTGCAGACCTGATCACCGGAATACCACCTGATGCCCCACGCAGTATAACCGATTATGCAAATGACTTGCGGAACAAAATGAATGACATTTATGAGCACGTCAGACAGACGGGCCAGCAAACGTCTGAGAAGATGAAAACACGGTATGACCGCAAAATGAACAACAAGGGCTTTGATGAAGGTTCACTAGTGTGGTTACACAATCCAGTTCGCAGCAAAGGGAAATCTCCTAAGCTTCAAGCTAAATGGGACGGACCGTACCGGATTGTGACAAGGATCAATGATGTAACCTACCGGATACAGAAAGGTGCCAGAGGTACTCCTAAGATTGTCGATGTGGATCGACTGGCGCGTTATTATGGGGCCAATAATGCTCGGGACGAGCATGTCTTAGGAGGGGGCAGTGTTACGCGCCACTATTAATGTCTTGTACATGGCAACACTAGTTACACTAGCGCCCCCTAGTGTCGAGTAAATGAAAGTATTGCGCGCCACTATTAATGTCTTGTACATGGCAACACTAGTCACACTAGCGCCCTCTAGTGTCGAGTAGCAGAACTAGGAGAGTCGAGATCCTTCCAGAAATTTCGGGACCGATATGTACTCGAACATTCTAGATGTCGCTACAGTAGAAGATTCTGGAAACTATCTGAGGCCCTATATAAGGCCGGTATAGACCACGACCGAGGCAGTATTGAATTGGCGATACAAGAGAATACTTCGAAGCGAAATAACGGCGAACTGTGTTTTATTATTAGTGTGATTTTTGATTGTAATTAGTGTTGTGTAATTAAAGTGTCAATTTTGGTAATTCAATCGGCAGTTTTTAATTGTCTTGAACCCCAAGCTCGTAACAATAATATAAATGAATACATGGTTGATAATAACCCCTGGGAATGAGGTGGTCGCTTTCAAGCTGTAAATAGTATGTACAACCTTTCTTATTAAATAATTCACATTTTTTTTGCTGGTTCTTCTCAGGACAGTTTTTTTTTCGAAATAGTGGTAAAATTAAAAAAAAATATTTTCAATAAGAAATACATGTTATCAATATTGAATAAAAATTATATTCTATTCTATAGAATATTTGTGACAAATGGTACACGACATCGTGTTCAAAGAATTTTTAGGTTAGACGTACGCTGGAATAACACTTATTTATTCAATTGTTACGATGGAATTAAACGTAGTAACATCCATCTAGATATATTGGATAGTAGCCTTTGTAGATTTAAAAGATATTTACGTTAAATTTCACAGTACGCGATCCGCGCCGGCACCAATGAAATAGTTAATTGCAATTTTAAGTGCTGATTTACCATGAGCTCAGCGGTGAAGAGACACATCGTGAGGAAACCTGCATGTCTGAGAAATAAGAAAAAAAAACATATTTCGATGACATGTGAAATTCGCCGACACGCATTGGGGCAACGCGGCGGACATTTCCTTGCCCTAAAACCCTGTCAAAAATGAAAGGCCAGCAGTGGGACGTATAAAGGCTGTAACATTAACTTATTTACGTTAAAGATGTTAAAAATTAATTAATATGACACGGATCGTTCAGCCACCATAGTCTACATCACCTGAGGATGCCCCGTTTAGAGGCGAAACACGTGCCGTATTATCGACGGTGTGCTTTTCCTTGTATAGTGGTGCTGGGATTAGTGGTGACGGGGATAGTGTACGCAATTAAGGGAGGGCATGAGATCTTCTTCAAACTACGTGTAGGTAAGACACATAATTTTAATTTACTAGGCGGATCTTAGTTACTTAATTTTTAACATCTTTATATAATTACGGATTTCCGCAAGTAACGCCTGATTCTATTAACTAACCTAAACACTAAATAAATAAAACAAAATAAAAATAATTCGTTTTTACTTTCAGACATGACGTTTTGTTCCTCTATACGGATCCACCTTCTCCGTTCGACCCTGAACCGAGTCTCAACGTGACACGGTCGTGCGTTGATAGCGTTTGTACTTTGGACTGTGTTATGATCGGTAAGACATAAAATTCTCATTACATTCATTCATTCATGTATCCATCTATTCATTCTTTCACGATTCATTCATCTATTCATTCCTTTTTAATTTATTCATTCATTAATTACTGCCTATCAAAGATACACAACTGAACTTCATCATAGATTACCTCATAGAGGAGATCTCCCCGATGTGTATGCCCAGTTGCCTGTGTAAGGGCGGATTCGACCAAACTTAGTATAAGTCTTATCCTGAGAATAAAATCACAAATAACTCTCGAGTTAGAGAACTTTCGTTTTACCAAATCTTAACCCAGGTATAACTGTCTATCCGAGTGTAAATAATTATACCGCCAAAATTCATGGAGTAAACAAGTCGTACCAGAGTATTTTAATGGCGGCCGCTACATTTTAACAGCTGTTTTCGTATACTTTGTTGAAAAAGTAGGATCATTGAGTTATATGTACTACGTACTAGAGAAGCCATTCCGAACATTGACTATGTTCAACTGAACTGTAGTGCAATCCATACAAACTAAATATTGCGTAAATTGAAGATTTGTGAATTCCATAAAATTATTATTATTATTACATTTTATTTAGAAATATGTTTGTTTAGATTAAATTAAGATATTTTATATTAAATTCTCATATTTATTTTATATTAATATCTTACTTTATATCAAATTAAGACATAGAGTAGGACACAATCTTTGTTTGGAATGGCTTCTCTAGTACATAGTACATATAACTCAATGAGTAGGATATTTTATCGTTGTGCATTGATAATTTCTTGTATTTTTGTTATAATTGTAGGGATTATTTTTTGAAATAATGCAACATTTACGAAATATAGAAGATAAGAATAAAATTAGAGGAATAATCAACTAACAACTCGACTCGTGTCAATATTCTAGTGTTCAGTGACAGTTGACACTAATATAATCCGGCAAAACTAAGTGGACAGAAAATCTTGCATTGCGCTATTTAAAGAATTGTATTTCGATTTTAGTTGGTTTACATGTTCAATCATTTTTCATTCACCAACTCTAGAGTAACAATACCCAGTATTAGCTACGTCTACGTTTGTGTTGGAAAAACGCAAACGAAGTTATATGAGAGTAAGAGTAGAGACCAAAGAGTAAAATTATTCGAGGGTTAGTTACTCTGGAGTAACATAAGGTATTTCGTCGAATCCGCCCTAAGTGTGCTACCCTATGAGTGAAAGTGTCCTGTTTTAATTTCCCTTTGTAACCTCTTGTACAACCATGGGATGGTATAGAGTGATGTCTTCTGTTACTCCGTAACAAGACAGGAAATTCTTATTAAAATTGTCGAGTACTTTATTAACGGACTACTTTATTAAGCGTAAAGATTGATTGCTGGAATGTATTTATGTTTGTTCTTCTATCCACTAGTAATAACGCTCATTCTAATAGTCGAATTTTGACCAGCAATATCTCAACTAGGTCCATAGATGCCTTGTTAACTGAGAACTAACATTGAACGCTTTCATCCTGTAGTTCATTTCCAGTCCTGTAGATCGAGGAAGTGCCACGCTCTCATAAGAATACCAGCGTGGAATTTTGTTTAGTATTTCATGAAGCTATATTTATAGTATAGTTGTAGCACGAATGGGTCGACTCGACCGGGGAAGGACCACGCTCTCACAGAATACCAGCGTTAAATAGCTGCTTAATGCTGCTGTGTTTCGTATGGTGAGTGTAGAGAACAGGAGACCCCTTTTACTGGAAAAGAGGCATTCCATCTTAGTCCTCACGGCTGACAACGCATCTGCATTTTGATTCGCATACGAGGATAGATGTAGATGTCTATGCGCCACAGCAACCACTTACATCAGGTGGACTGTGTGCTCGCTTGTCACCCTATTTCTATAAAAAAAGAATACTTTTTTATGGTGGGTGAATCGAAGACCTTTTCTACCGTGTTTATATAAATCCGCAAACAGTTATATTATGGTTGTAGCAATAAGTCGGCTTGACCGAGGAAGGACCACGCTCTCACAGAATACCAGTGTAAAATAGCAGCTTAACGCCGCTGTGTTTCGTATGGTGAGTGTAGAGAACCGGAGAACATTTTCAATTGATACGAGGCATTCCATCTTAGTCCTCAGTGTGACAACGCATCTGTATGGGCCACTTATCATCAGGCTAACTCAAACCATATTTTATAAAAAAAATTAACCACCTGATAACCTTCACACTCGAAACGTTAAATTTAGTTCAGGACTAGAGAAAAAAGTATTATTTATAATGTATATTGAATAAAAAAGTTTCTGTTCCACCACTTTCTTGTTTGTTTGTCTGTTCGGTACAAATTAATATCGATTATAATCTAACTTCCCGATAAGCTAGAGACTTGAAACCAAACGTAGTAAAAATGGTACATAGCCATTTTGAATTATAATTGTTACTGATGGTAACAAGGCGTTCCATCTTCCATTTAATTTACGATAGATATGTGTATAGACCACAGCATCCACTGATGATGTAGACAGTGCGCTCGTTTGTCACCCTTCTGTGAATAAATTGTTACTATTTTAGCCTGTAATTTCACTTTTCTTATTCCAGGTCCAGCACACAACACCTTGACCTTCGTACCGCGGCCCAGCGTGAACCTGACCAGCTGGTCCTTTTCATCTCCCTTACAGCCGACAACTCAGTTCACGAACAGATCTGTGTACGTCGTAATTCATTCCACTGCAACCTATTCGGAGAAGCTGGAGCCACTGGAGTTCACTCTGACATTTAGTGTAAGTTTTATTTTAATACTAGCAATCCGCCCCGGCTGCGCTTGAATTCAGATTTAAAATAATAATCAAAGACCGTTTATTTTATCAATTTTTCGATAAGTATCAATCAAGTATAAAAAGTATCAAGTATAAATCATTAGTGCTCCATGGCGCAGTGGCCCAGCAATGAGTTGTTGCGCTCGGGACGCGGGTTCTAATCACGCACGGAATATATATTTGTACGGTCTACAAATAATTGTTCCGGGTCCGGATGTTTGTCCGTGTGAAATTTATGTATGTGAACTGCATCCACGATACCAGAAAATCCTAGTGTGGGAGTAACGTATTTTTTTTAAGAAAAAAAAATGCATCCATACATTCGACGAATAACATTAAATTTAATGACTGACATTAAATTCAATGATTCTTGTCAAAAAAAAACCAAAAAAAAATTAATTCTCTAATTTCTAGGTAAACCCCACCCTACAAACTCAACCGATAGTGGACATTTCTCACCACGCTCATAAAATAGCCCACCCGGAAGATTTCACCGAAGGTTACAAGAAGCTGCTGGATGCTGTGCCGAAATATTTCAATATCGCATCCACTTTGAGTGTCAAAAGCAATTATATATTTTGAAGGCCTAAATAAATGTGTTTTGTTCACTTCTGCAGGGCTAGCATGGCCAGGAGACAATTTTATCCCCGGGGAAAGGAAAAAATGTTTATCCCCTCGCTTAGTTTTATCCACCCTTCGAGCATAGGCACATCGGTGGATATAATATCCACAGATAAAATGGGAGATAGACTTAGACTTGATAGATTTTTTATATGAATATAAATTTAAACCCATGTCCAATGAACTAGGATAAAATTGTCCCTTTCAAATGTCAGAAGAACATAATTTTTTATCTTTAATTTGGTTCCATGCTACGGACGGGGGATATATGTCTACTCGTTATGATATACTCCCCCCCCCCCCCCCCTCCGTTGCCGTGCTTTGGTATAAGGACAAGATAATTTTGTCTCTTGTCAGTGGATATAACCGGGGGATACATTTTTTGTCCCCAGCCCATGCTAGCTGTGCTGAGGTTGATTTGTTTGGACTTGTAGAGTAGGGTAGTTGTGTTATTAATATATAATTACCAGTGAACGCAAATATAACATGGAAATATTACATGAAGGGAATTAGGGATTACAAAACTTTCTGCCACCAGGGCGGCGCCACTGGAATGAGGTGAAATATTTGATAATAATGACATAGCGGGAAAATGGAATTGTCAGAAAAATGTAGAATAAATATTTCTTTCTGGAATATTAATTATATATTACATTAATTAGATTACAAATGGAACAAACCAGTTTGTTTCATATATCGTGTCAGGTTGCGTACCAAATTAATGACGGGTAATAATCTAGTGCACACTAGATGTCGCTAACTTCACCTCAGTGGGAAGTTAGCTACCCCGATGCGGCACCGAGGTGGCTTTATGTGAAAAGTTGCGTTACACATTAAAGTTTTTCGGTTTCTATTGTTTAAACCTATATACAGAAAACAATGCCTCAGTGGTTGCCCTTTGATTTTTTACAATTTTTTAAATAAAATTTTTAATTTTTCTACTTCTAGAAATATCCGTAGTTTGGTTTATCCATTCCTGATCTATTTAATATCAAATATAACGAATATTACAGAAAAAAAAAACATTAATCTCTACAATTTTCTTACAAGTTAACTTCCCCCGCTGTGAAATCAGTCAAATATTTCACCTCATTCCAAGTGAGCTGCCCTGGTGACAGAAAAAAAAACGTGGCTCTCTTTGGTTAGCCACGCCTACCGCAGTTCAATTTGCGTTAGATTATTGTTTGTGGAGCTGGGAATTTTTCCATGTTCTATTTGAATTCACAAAATACATAATATAATTTTAATTTGCGACATTAAGAGGATATCTCCACTTTATTGTCTGCTACATTCACTCGCTCAATATTAAAAGACTTGAAACACAATATATTAAGTGATTTGGGAAAAGAAAAATATAAAAGCTATTTATTTATCTTAGAAATGTCATCTCTCGAATAAAACGAAGTCAAAGTTACTACGTAACCATTCTTGTTTTGGTAATGGGCTTTTACGATTGTACTTTTACCTGTATCAAGTGATGATTATACGTGGTAGAGCCATGCTGCAGCTATATTAGTAGTATAGTTGTAGCACGAATGGGTCGGCTCGACCGGGGAAGGACCACGCTCTCACAGAATACCAGCGTAAAATAGCAGCTTGACACTGCTATGTTTCGTATGGTGAGTGTAGAGAACCGGAGACCCTTTTTACTGGCAAAGAGGCATTCCATCTTAGTCCTCACGGGTGACAACGCATCTGCATTTTGATTCGCAAACGAGGATAAATATAGATGTCTATGGGCCACAGCAACCACTTACCATCAGGTGGACTGTGTGCTCGTTTGTCACCCTATCCTATAAAAAAAATGATAATCCTTAATAGTACACTTTTTGTGAGATCATGACGGCAACTTGAGCAAGCAGACAGTTGGCGACAGTATCTCCTGGCGCCTAAGCAGACAGACACCTTACTTTGAGATTCACATCACCATTGGAGCACTTGTTTCATCGTTTCCACTAATAGTTCACATGGGCAGACATTTAATGCACAAAACCTCACCACTTTTACAGTAAATAATAATACGGGAACAGCAATTTACAGGTCAAGTTCCCGCCAAAACTCCACTAAGACTTATTAATCTTTTTTTTTTTAAATGAAGTGTTACACGAACGTACAGTCTATTTGTTGGTGCTAACCTAATTACAGGATGTGAGATATTCTGTCATGGTCTTCCATGTGTCTGTCGTTGTGTTCTGGACTGCACATCTGTAGCTTTCTTTGTTTGAAGTTGGTTGTAGGTGTCCATGGGCTGCTGTAGCCACCTGCGTAGGCTCTACCACGTAAATAATTTAGTAGTATGATTGGGTCAGCTCAACCGGGTAAAGATCACAGTCTCACGGAATACCAGCCTAAAATAGCAGCTTAATGCTGTTTCGTATGGTGCGTGAAGAGAACCGGAGACGGGTGACAACGCGTCTACATTTTGATTCTTAATTGAGGATAGATGTAGATGTCTATGGGTCACAGCATCATCCACTTACCATCAGGTGGACTGTGTGCTCGTTTGTCACCCTTATTCTGAATTCTGTTAAAAATTTAGATTTGTAGAGAACAGTTTGAAGTGTGACTGAGAGTATGAACGTATAGTATTATTTAAGCATGTAATAAATTTCTGACCAACCCAATTTTTCAGTCTTGATACGATCAAAATAAATGGATATATTAAAATATTTTTAAGGTTTTTATTTATTTGTATTGAAAATTTTATCCAATATATAATAAATTGCATTGTATAAATGAAAAACAAACTAAGATGTAAGCAGAAATTTTGTACTAAATACTGGTTGTGAGATGAGAAATATATTATCTTTGGAAACTATTGTATTATTTAATTAAAGATAACTGGATTAAAGTGTAAGGGTACCTCAAAAGTGGATCGTAGAATTCTAAAAACAAGGAATTAATCAACGCAATAACAATATTTATTTCCGTTAAACTAAAACAATGCCAAAGTATAACAAAATAACATATCACAAACCTTCTTGTCACTCTGGCGCTGACTCGTACACAGAATTTACTCCGGCTCGTCTTTGAATGACACTCAACTGCTAACTGGTAAGTGCTAATTTTTTATCCACATACAAATCACGCCACTTTAACATAATCGAGTTGAAATGTAATCGATTTGGAAACTCATTAAACCAGTTGTAAACAGTGGCACGAGGCACCACGGGGAGTACTCTGATGAATTGTTCGGATTAATCCCAGCCGCCAAATTTCACGAACGCACATCGCGACAGAACTCCCGATACCATCCACACCATCTAGATGATTGGCGGTCCACCACTGTGCGGTTAAGAAGATGTTTTTTTTCTCGCACAACTTCCTTGTGGAATCGATTACTATCAACGATTTTTCCGGACCGATACGATTTAGGCACCTTCAAGAAAAGAGACTACTCCTTTTTAAAAGGCACGCAACACATCTGCAATTCCCCTGGTGTTGTGGTTGTTCATGGGCGGCGGTAGTCACTTACCATCTGATGAGCCGCATGCTCGTTTGCCCCCTCTCCTATAAAAAAGAAGATGGGTGATCATCGGGAAAGGCCAATCGAAGTCTATCATAACTTGTTGACTTAAATGACATCGAAGGTCATAAAAAATCATTGTACGATTTATAATTGTAGTATTTTCTCGCGTTAAATTCATGCTGACGTGACACAGACAAATTTCAATTTGGCGCCAAATCGTAAACAAATGACAAATTAATAAAATGCATAGGTACACAATAATATTGGTAAATTTATTATGTCGTTTTCAAGTGGCCAGTTCTAAAAACTTTCAGGCTGCATTTTACGCTCATATTCTTTGAGAGTGTAACCCTAGTCTTTCCCCGGTCGAGCCGACCCATTCGTGCTACATCGGCTCATGGCTCCACCAAGTATCAAATTGTATTATATAACGTCTAGTCGTCCAATAGATAGTGCCGTCATAATAAAAAACTCTGAAGCACTACACACACAAGAACACATTTATTATTTCATGTTCAATTTAATCAAATTTTTTTATGCAAGTAACTAACTTTAAAATTACTGCCATTACTCATATCTACATTTTTCTAAACTTTTTTCTTTTTCCAACACTTTCTCAATAGATTTGTGTAAGATTAAACTAATTCATTAGGTACTAATTCATTTTTTAACGCCACGACGCAACGGTTCTCTTTCCGTAACGCAAATCGCAAAATACCAATAACACGATATCTGTTACATAAATTCACATGTGTGCGAACTCTCAATGCCATGACAGTACATCCGCGAAAATATCGAGCGACCTTGCTTCCAAGGTAAGAGCATAAGGCCTTTACGTCCTTACTCGAGGCCAAGTTCACATGAGCCTTGTGACGAGGACATGGCCTTGATTCAAGGATAAACCTTGAATCAGGTCAAACGAATTTTATTATGAAGGGCGTTCTAGATCGGTTTTGTTTCGACAGTTTGGCATCTTTTGAAAATATTTCCGTAGTTTCAACTGATGTATATTACACTGCCATCTGGCAATAACAATTAAAACTATTAAAATATACCTCATATTATCCTGTGGACGCCACCTAGTTGTACTGTAGAGCAAGTTCATGAGAGTTTTGTAACGGAGACACGGTCTTAGTCACACCTCGATCCGAGCATAAAACCTTGAATCGGGGTAAACGAATTTTATTATAAAGGCATTTCAAATTGTTTCTGTTAAACACTTTTTGGAAAGACTAATTTCATAGTGCCAGCTCATGTTTGTTATACCGCCATCTATGAATCAAAGTCAATGTTATTACATAGACTCCATCAAGTGTAACTCGAGCAATTCACGGAACTTTATAACGAGGACACGGCTTTATTTATTTATAAACAGCCTTGGTCCAGGGATAAAAGCATATAAAATCAGATCCGAAAACATTTATTATATAGTTTTGGCACCCTTAAAAAAACTTGTAGTTTCAGCTGATGTATGTTACACTGCCATCTAGCAATTATA